AATATACATTCTAAATAAGATACGAACTTGATTTACACACTGATTAATCAACTTTATGAGTTGAATTGCATTATGGGTTACTACAATAATACTTCTCCAATTTTATGCAATTTTTTACTACTCGTTCGGGGAAGCACATTAATTGTTTTTGCATTTTGCAGATTAAATACAATATGTAAATTAATATCTACTATTTAAATGTTTACATTTACAATAATTGATTTACAAACGTAGAATTCAAGTTTTCTACATTTTTGTCTAAAACGTCTTGTGGACAATTGTCTGTATTCCCATTTTGAGGTATCACTGCATACAAATTGAACGAGGATTCCCTGAACCAGGATTGTAGTCACTTTCAAAGATGTCCACAAATATTATTCTGCTTTGGCCATTTCAAGTTTTAAATTCTAGTATTGTGATTGTTATCTGATGGGATCTAAGGTATTATTTACTCACCAAAACAATTTTGTTTCTTAATATGAGAATGGGTCATTTTTACTAGTACCTAACCTTTGTATTTTTTTAAACAAATGAAAATGAGTTTCAATTGTCTTTCCAGCATTTCAATTAATATTACTTCGTAAATTAATCCGTACTTCGTGTTTGTAATAAATGTAAAAATGTAGTACACGACCATGTTCTGCTATCTATTTATTGGATTGGACAACTGTTCGCGGTAAGCTTTGTTGTGTGCCATAATAACAATTGTCATATAAAGTAGATTCCCAGACCTGTTAAAGTACTGATTTTATCTATTTATTTTTTCATTATTGTCTTTGAAAGTAGGATAACAAATTACAGATAATGATAATGAGAAATAAATTATTTTGTTTTAGCTAACCTGAGTAGAAGACTCAAGTGTGCTTTTCTATTCGAAAAGTATCCGGAGTCCGTCTGTCTCTCTGTTCATCTATCCGTTTGTAAAATTTGCACATTTGCGACATTGTCCAGAACTACTGGATCATTTTCAAACAAAATTTGCCACATCCTTGGGGAAGTAGGTATTTAAGTTCGTTCAAATGAAGGGCTAGTCCTTCTTACGAGGGAGGTAATTAAGAAAAAAATTAAAAATGGTAGGGTCATTTAAAAATCTTCTCAAGAACAACATAGTGTATATTCAAGTTTTTTCGAAAACTGGCCCCTGGGTGTAGGTAAGAGGTAAATAAGGGATCAAGGTTTTGCATGGAAATATATAAGAAAAAGAGTTCAAAGTGTTCTCAACAACCACTTGCCCAGAAAAGATGAATCTTATAAGAATACTTCCTTGCAAAGTGTGGATTCAAGTTTGTTTAATTCATTCTCATAGGGATCGGTTGTTGCCAAATAGGAAATCAAATAATTACACTGGAATACACCTACAGGCATTTTTTCATAAATTTTCTGTTAAAGAACCACTGGACCAGAAAAGATGAAACCTATATGAAAGCTTCCTGACACAGTGTAGATTCAATTTTTTGTCAAGGGGGGGGGGGGCAGAATAAGAGATCAAATGTCTACATGGGGAAATTTAGAAAAATTGATTTAAAAATTCTTCTGCTGAAGACTACCTGGGCTAGAAAAGGTGAAACCAGTATGATTGGTTGATTGATTGTATGTTGTTTAGCGTCCCATTCGAGAATTTTTCATATAGAGACGTATGCCGGTGACGGGCTTCAAATTTAGACCTATACTCGACACTCAGGGCCATTGGGCAGTGAGGGTTCTTTATCGTGCCAACGCCTACTGTGACACGGGACCTCGGTTTTTTAGGTCTCATCCGAGAGACCTGTGACTTTCACTTCCGGTGCCGGGCGCTTGGTGAAGGAGCAGTCACTACCTTTGTTTACGTCTTAGATTTGACGCAGCGCGCGGCGAACGAGAATCGAACCCGGGCCTCCCGATCACGAAGCGAGCTCCCTACCACTAGGCTACCCTGACCGGTTTAAACTTCTATGAAGACTTTCTGACAAAATAGTTTCAAGTTTGTTGAAGTCTTGGGCCCATGGTGTATGGTGGGCAGCAATAGGGGATCAAATGTTCACACATAGGAAGATATAGAAACAAGTTGTAAATTTTTCTTCTCAAGGTTAAAATACATATAGAAAAAGTGGTTAGGACTTCCACCTCACTAGGACATATCCATGGTATTGGTGCCTAGATACCGAATTTTAGCTGTATATTCAAGTTTGTTCAAATTATCGACCCAAGGAGTAGGGTCGGACCACAATAAGGGATAAAAAGTTTTACAAGGAAATATATAGGAAAAATGTTTAAAATCTTCTCAAGAACCACTGTGTGAGAAAAGATGAATCGTAGGAAAAAAAGCTATATTAATCTTTAGATAACAGGCCCATGGGGACTCAGGTGACCGTTGTGGCTCCTGGGCCTCTTTTTGTTTGTAGAACAACAAAGACGATTGAACAAGTGCACTTTTTCCTCAGAGTTAACATGCTAAATATGGTATTTGAAATATTATTGAAGAATTAATGATTCTAAACTTATGTGTTTATTGAACAAAGATTGTAAAAAAGATCACTGATAATAAATATTTATCTACAAAAAAATAGTTTGCTTTTTTCTTCAAAGTTAGATTTCAAGCATACATTGACTTAGATTGAAGATATTTTCAAATTTAGACTATACAGTCATACTCGAATCACTGTAAAAGCAGAAATATTCGTTGGGGATTAAATTTCGTTTATTTCGTTGTTTAGAATTATCAACGAAATTAAATCCCACAAAAAAATTTTAAATTCCTATAAACTGAAAAGGGTTACTTTCGAAACAACGAAATTTAATGCTCATGATACATCTTTAGAGGAGAAAACAACGAAATTTTATCCCCACGAAAATTTGTGATTCTACAGTACTTAATTGCTCCCCTTTTTTACATTACTAAGAGATTTAATGGTTCCAGGCATTCTATAAATTAAGTTTTTTATAGCAGTTTTTTTTTCTGAATTGAGCAGCGATCCCTCTGTACTTCATTCCACATTTAAGTTGTTGGCATTTGTAAAAAGTCTTCTTTGTCCAGCAAAAAATAAGATTTAAATCGGGTTCTTTCGGCCACAAAATTGTAGGAACTGCATTACGTTTTTAGGAAACTTTCCTGTGCTTTTTGAGTTATGGCACTGTACTAAATACAAATAGCATAGTATTATCAGATTTAATACAAATGAAAAATATGAAGCCTACGAAATCGATCTTAAAAAACCTACAAACAATACAAATCTGTGAACTGGGCAAAAACACGGACCAGATCCAGAGGTAGGATCAGGTGCCTATTGGAGGAGTAAGCATCCCCTGTCGACTAGTCAAACCCACCATAAGCCCTATGCATTGATCAGGTAAAAAGAAAATTTCATATAAAAACAAATTTAAAGCGTACAGTCACCGGCAATCACGCTGCATGAAATAGCACACGTGACATGTCGGTGTGATTTACCCACCAATTGCATTCACAAAAATACCAAAAAACAACAAAATGTTTAAGCAACAATATCTGTGGGGCGACAATATGTACAGTGAGGGTAAGGCACATATAATGTCGGGGTGTTGCTAAAACGCGGAACGGAACGGAAAATTTGATGTCAAGTTTTCACTAAGCACAGGTATAATTCAGACTTAGGGAGCAATATTCTTTATCTAATACATGTGTAGATCATATTTCTAATTAAAAGTTATCGTAACAATGTGATTTATTCATGATTTTTTTCCCTCAAAACATATGGCATATATACATGCAATGGTCAATAAAATACACATTAATTAGACTCATATCCCATTATCTATCAGAATGTCTCACTTCATGCGCGAATCTAGGGGGGGGGTCGGGGGGGTCCGCCCCCCCCCCCCCGGAATTTGCAGGGTTTTTAAATGTATATGCTTAACCAACTGAAAGTGGACCACACCCCCCCCCCCCTCGGAAACGCAGATCTGTATAAAGTTGGTACGAAAAGTCATAAGTATAAAGCTTTAGAAGTCAACGACTACCCCCCCCCCGCCCCACGAAATAGGTTTTTCACGTTTGGGAAATGATTTTACTGTTTTTGGGGGGGGTTCTTTGGGGTTTTTTTTTTGTTTTTTGTTTTTTTTTTTTTTTGTTTTTTTTTGTTTTTTTTTTTTGCTTGTCAAGAATTTTCTAAGTTGGAATTTTTTTTTGACTGGGGTGGACCCCCTCCCCCCTTGGAAAAAATTCCTGGATCCGTACCTGCACTTATCACTCATCCAAATCTGAATTTAAAAAATGGCTTATTCATCAAAGACAAAAATCATCATTATTGATTATAAAAGGAGCAATGTTGTTTTGAAACAGGCAGAGAGAAAGACAAAGTAATATACATTTGTGTTAAAGACAACGGTCACTGGCATTAAGGAAACAATTTTTAAAAAGTTTATTAAACAGTGCTACAGGAGTGTTGGTGCAATCCGCAGGGACCTGAAACGGGGATTGAAGAAAGATAGCATACATGTATATGGCCAAATTGTGCAAAACAGCATAAAATTATTCCACAGAATAACGTCAAGATGAAATTGATGGGGAAATGACATATTTTCGAGAAAATATAGAGCTGTTATTTATATTTTAGTGGGGGGGGGGGGTTACAGATATGTACACTGAACGTTATCCACACCTAAGGTGCATGGGTACATATGCATTGAAAATTATGGAAATTTCGCTCAAAACATGTTACATGTATATATGTACGGCATTAGATATTTTCTGTTCCGTTTTCCGTACCCTGTGCTTTGTTTATGTTCAGACATCTTCATAAATAAGAAAATGAACATGACTAAATCAACTCGTATTTTCATAATTAAGGATTAAATATGAAAAAATTAAATGATGTTTACTGTTTCTGGTCTTATTTTTATATTTTAAGGGATTTAACCAGAAATCATACTTTCCGTTTTCCGTTCCGTTCTGTTTTCCGTTCCGCGTTTTAGCAACACCCCATAATGTCGCCAGCGACAATATGAACATGTGTAACTTTTCAGCCGGTGACAATATGTACCGATGCATGGATGACAATTTGTCCAGTGAGGGTAGGTACATTGTCGCTGTACAAATGTACAAACGACATTAAGTACCGTCACAAACATTCAGCTTAATTATAAACTAAGGTTTGTAATTAATTGCTCTCTCGTAATAAGTTAGCAGAGGAATAAAAATAACACAGTAGATTTCTTATACACATTGTCCTGAATCATTGACGGATCTATATATAGAATTACACTGAATTACATCCTATCTGCAACTATTAATAATTTGTCATTGTGAAGTATCCTTATTCGTCCAAGAAATTCCCTTTTTAGCTCACCTGAGCCGAAGGCTCGACTGAGCTTTTCTGATCGAAGGGTTTCCATTGCCCATCTGTCATGTGTAGTCTGTATGAGGTGCCGTTTCGGTATTTATTGCCATTTAACGATATCACCTATTTGAATGGGTGATATCACCTATTCAAAATAAATAGATGATATCACCAAATCAAGAAGTGATAGGTGATACCACCTATTCGAATGGGTGATATCACCTATTTGTTTCGAATTGGAGAAATCACCTATTTGCTTTCCTTACAACATTAAATAATGAATAGTCCCTTCTTCAAGACAATCAAGCTTCAATGCAAAGTAAAAGCATGGAATTTTGAAAGGGTTTCAAAGAAGAATTTTATTTTCCCAGCATTGATTAAATAATGATGATATTGATTTCCTTACTCTTAAACAAACTTGTTTTAAAAGATTATACAGAATCTCTGGACTTCTTGAACTTAATGATTCACACTCTTTTCTGTTTCGGCATTGAATTGATTATTGACAACTAAATTACAGATTTGTTGTAAGATCTTTACTGCACAAGATGGGGGGGGGGGGGGCACTGTTTTTATGTTATCCGTACACACAAACAAACTTCTGATCAAGAAATGCATGCACATTACCTGCTTTAAAGCTTCAATAAAGATATTAATAAATAAACATAAGAGTGGTTAGCTTTTTTTTTGCTAATAGCATTATAGTTCATGCATTTGCCTGGCGGCAGAATCTGACAATCAACTACAAATATGATTCCATAACATTCAAAGCTAAATGATTTATGAAATTGATTTTTTTTTTTTAATTATCATTTCATTGATTATTTACTGCAATTGTCAGTCTACAAGGATCCATTTAGGAAAAACGATCCCGATGTATTTTCATAATATTAAATTCAGTTTGTGTGATAAGGCCTTTCCAAGTTTTTTCTCTGTTTAGCGTCCACCAATCTTTCAAAAACCTACCTACCTATTCGCAAAAAACACACAAGCCCGAAAAAGATATACACAAGCAAACTCAAGGTATTCTAAAATACTTAAAATACACCTAATATTACATATTATACGCAAATATTTAGAGAAATTGTCAGAATTCAAATATTTCGACCAAAATGATCAATTTCGGGACTCCTGATTTTGTTTGGTTTTTTTTTCTGATATTGGGTGTCTAAAACCAAGGCGTACGCGGACGCTAAACATAGAAAAAACTTGGAATGGTATAACTGTTCTCATACTTTACATCGGGTTCAAAGTACAGTGACAAGGGCTCAAAAACGTGTATAAACTCTGCCTCTTAAAGTTATCAAGACTTAAATTGAACTGTCCGGACCGTAGCATTTTTTGCCTTTCCCTTCTCCTCCCCGGGAATAAGGCTAAACACGTATATATCTAAACTTTACAATTCGGAATTGATTTCTGCTTTTTTCTAGCCAAGGTGCTCAGGTGAGCAATGTGACCCATGGGACTCTTGTTATTAATTTTGCTGGCAATTTATTGAGGGATACAACCGTATTTTGCTATTGTGTAGTATATACACTGGGGAAATCATAGAGGGACACGGCACCGGAGCCTTCCACTCCAGGTTTCTTCGGCCTTGTACGATCTTTATTGTTGAAATTGAAGTATATATAATATCAAGTACATGTATAATAAGAAACAAATTAGCCTAAAACGGTCCTCTTGGGGTTTTTTTGTTTGTTTGTTTTTTTGTTTTGTTTTGTTTGTTTTTTTTTTTTTGTTTTGTTTTTGTTTTGTTTTTTGAAATATTAAAAAAAACGTCAATTATATACCGCAACTGGATAAAGCCATACCGGTACCTCTTATACGTTGCATATGCTATTATACAAAACAAAGTCTTAACCTTTCCTTTATTACAATTTACTTTTACTAAAATTAGGTATGACAATAAGATATAAAAATATCTAAATTCGGGGAGGGGCCGGGGTACATACCTTAGCAATTTTGCTGACGGAGAAAAGTACTTCGTACACAAATTTACTTTTGCTATCCATATGCAATACTGTATTTGAAATCTCAAATCTTATGCTAAAAGGAAGTTAATTGAATTACAGTTTTAATTTGTAACTTTCAATCCTTTGTTTTATGATTTTGAAGCACTTCTGCCATTGATCAGATTACATCTCTCTCTCTCTCTCTCTCTCTCTCTCTCTCTCTCTCTCTCTCTCTCTCTCATATTTTTAGATATCTTGTGAAAGGTTGAAGAAGTTATGGCTACATGTATATAACATCATAGATTTCAGATATCATAATTGTTATATAATCAACACCACCTTCTATTCTTCTCGGATGATGTCAATGGTGTGCGGTCACTGTATCCTGCTATTCACGGAGATCCTCCTTTGCTCACCTCGCCGTTTCGGGTCATGGCGCCTCGTCGGCATTCATGTCTTGAACGGAAATATCTTGTATGTTTTGGCGTTCTATTATTTATATTTTTCTTGCTCTCAGTTGCCTTTATTGTTATACAGATACACAATGGTAAGCAGTTTTTTTTCATGTATTCTTATATACAATTATAATCGAAACAAAGGAGTATGCTATAAACAGGTCTTGTAGGACTTGGATAGTTTACTTATATCGTTGGCAATTACAGGTAGAAAAAAATTCTTAATTTACGAATGTTTATGAAAGTAGAAAAATGTATTATTTTTATTACTTTTTATAAGAAACTTTATTATAACAGTGATACATGTATAATAAAGGATACATAGCACAACGATTTTTTTACAGGAATCAGCAATGTATCTCATAGATATATGTATATACTAACCTGAATAATATTTGTCAGGGTAAATGTAGGATTTTGTAAAAATGTTTAAAAATGTTGAAAAAAAAAAACTTGTATGGAATTACGTAGAAAACTGTACAAACTCGAAAATTTAAGCACCGAAGAAAACTTACGATTTCTTTATATTTTAAGGATTTTTATTTATTATTACTATTTATGTCATTTCTATTCAAAACCAGACAAAAATATTTTTGTTTTCGGGTATGTATCCTTTAATGAAAAAGCAATTGAATATCTGTACCCTTAAGAGGAATATATTGCTCTCTCAAACTATTGTGAGCGAAAGGTAAACGTTTGTTCACGTTGTTCATTTGAATCAAAATAATAATAATAGTACACCACAAGACATTTGCTTTCATTCTTAGAAACAGATGTAATTAAAAGGTTAACAAAAATCATGATTACAGAGGGATTCATTTTGTAAAGAGAATTGCAACATAAGTCAAGTTACGTTGAATGCTGGCCACCAAGCCTCATGATCATGGAACAGACTTAGACTTAGGTCAAATTGTCAATCGCCTGTAAAATAATTTTTGATTATTGAATTAATCTCTAAATATGCAGATAACAACACTTTTGTAAAACAATATTTAAAAATACTTTAATTTTATTCTGCTTAACTTCTACAAAAATTTAATACAACATAAAGATTTTGACTTAGGCTTAAAATGTTTTATGATCCCAGGGCGAGGTCTTCCACCTATAAATTTTACACTCTTCAAAAATTCATGAATCAAGGATTCACACTAAGCTTTGTTTTTATAAAGCCTACGTTAAAATATTCTCCGATGAATACTGCAGTCAAAACCACTTTTCTACCCAAGCAATGTGCTTGAAAAATGTTCAATATATAAAATAAGATTGTTTACATCATATATAGCTCCTGCTTGAAGGATTACAACAGCACTTTTTTTCCAGTTGCTTTCTACCAAGATAATGCCCCAAACATTCATGCACACGGTATTCAATGTTAGTGAAACTCGCATTAAAAACACTTGGCAACTTACATTTAGTATCATTTTTTCCTTTCTCTTTTTTTACTAGAATTATTTCTCTTTATCCTGACAGCTTATGCATCTTCACCGAAATACATAATCCAAAGTACCAAAGTAAATTAGTCCATCGATTTTACAATTCTGAATGAATTTTCTGAACTATAAACATATTTTTGATGTGGTCAAGGTTTCGTATTTGCAGACCAATTTTTAATTTTCACTTTTACAGCTTCATCCACAAGTACAACAGACACTGAAGAGAGTACAACGGAATCAGAAACTACATCAGAGGGTGCAGGAAAAACAACAGCAGAAACGGAAACCATGACAGGAGGTTCAGATAGCACAACTGCTGAAACAGAAACAACAACAGGAGGTTCTGACAACACAACAGCTGACACAGAAACAACAACAGGAGGTGCAGACAGCACAACAGCGAAAACAGAAGCAACAACAGGAAGTTCTGACAACACAACAGTTGACACAGAAACATCAACAGTAGGTTCTGACAACACAACAGTTGACACAGAAACATCAACAGGAGGTGCAGACAGCACAACAGCTGAAACAGAAACAACAACAGAAGGTGCAGCCAGCACAACCCAACCTCAAACAACAATAGAAGCTTTAATCAGCACAACCGCAGAAACTGAAACAATAACAGAAGCAGCGGCTGTCACAACAAAAGTTGTAGGCCATACAACAATAGAAGCATCCGCAACAACAACTGCCCAAGATGCAGCCACCACAACAAAAGGAGAAGCTTCAGATACAACTACTGCCAAAGATGAAGTCAGCACAACAAAAGAAGCTTCAGCCACAACAACCATCCAAACTGCAGCAACAACAATAGAAGCTGTAGATTCAACCATTTCTCAAGCTACAGTCACCACAACAAAAGAAGCCGCAGATACAACTACTTCCCAAAATGCACTCACTACAACAATGGAAGATGCAGATACAACCACTGCCAAAGCTGCAGCAACCACAACAGTAGAAGCTGCAGATACAACCATTTCTCAAGCTACAGTCACCACAACAATAGAAGATACAGATACAACAACTTACAAGGCTGCAGCCACCACAACAGTAGAAGCTGGAGATACAACAGGTGTCCAAGCTGCAGCTACCACAACAATCGAAGATTCAGCCAAAACAACCACCCAACCTGCAGCCACACCAACAAAAGAAACTGCAGATACAACAACATCCCAAGCTGCAGCCACCACAACAATAGAAGCTGCAGATTCAACAACTGTCCAAGCTGCAGCCATCACAACAATCGAAGATTCGGCCACAACAACTACCCATCCTGCAGCTACTCCAACAATAAAAGCTTCAGATACAACCACTTCGCAAGCTGCAGTCACCTCAACAGCGGCAGCGATAGTAACAACATTAACAGGAGCATCAATAGGAGCTACAGAGGCAAAACCCTCTCATGCTGCTCTCATACAGCACAACAGATGAAGCAATAATGACTACTACAGAGGTTGCAGAAGGCACAACAAGTGGAGATATGACAACCTCAAAAGCTGCAACCAGCGCAACAACGGACGATACAGAGACAACATCTACAAAACAAGCTGAAGTTACAACAGAAACTCTAACAATAACAACATTACCATCCACAACCACAGAGGATGTCTGTGCTAACATCAGTTGTCAAAATGGTGGAGTTTGTGTTCGAAGGAATGATGAGGGCCTTTGTCAGTGCAATGGAAACTATACAGGAAGCACATGTCAATATGGTAAGATTATTTTTTTCTTTTACTCACTATAATCTGATCAGGTATCTTTCAATGAAACACCAAATATGATTACTAATGAAAAGTTTATATGATTTCATATATAATTAATTTTTTTTATAAACATTGATCTATCAAGACGCAAATAGTCTGAGTATTACTATCAAAACTCAGATACTTGGAATATACAATGTATGGACAAGCAATATCCATATTTTGAAACACCTTAGAAATTACACACGGGATACGGTGCAATGGAAAAATGTAAAATGCATGGAAAATTTCTATTTCTTTTTATTTTTGTTATTGATAATTATATAGCTGTTCCAAGCTACACTTCATGGTCTGTTTGGGGTGCCTGTGACCAGACTTGTGGGGATGGTCTCCAAACAAGAACCAGAAACTGTACTGACGTCACGGGCGCAGACCGTGACTGGGATTGTGGGAATGAACTGAAGGAAGAGAAAGCATGTAATGGGCTACAAGCATGTGTTGGTAAATATTTTTCATTATTTTATACAAATCAAGTCTTAAGTATTTTTTCACAATATGCAAATAAGAGAAATTTTGAAATAATAAGAGAAATAATGTTTTATTAATTTTTCTAATTACCAGTGTCTTCTAATCCGTGTGATGCTGCCATCAATCCCTGTGCGTCTGATGGAGTGACACATACTTGTAGGGTCCAGCGTGATGGATCGTTCAAATGCTCGTGTGAAAATGGTTTTATCAATGATGCTAATGGGGTGTACTGTGTAAGTAAGTATCAAACGCAAAGACGTGCTAGTTTTGCATTTTATAAAATGTGCATGGAAACACAGCTCAAATATGATCATTTTTCTTCTACAAAATTCAAAAGCAAAAGTTTTTTTGTACAATAATACATTATGTATTTTTCTTGGGGTGAGGGGAGTGGGGGTCTTTCTTCTGCTAACATTTTGTTTTGTTCCCAGATGAAGATGAATGTATGAGGTCGAATAATGACTGTAAAGATATTTATGCAAAAACATTTAAAGTGGGCGTGTCTGGGTGTAGGGACACTGTTGGGAGCTATGACTGTACATGTTCCAGTGGATTTACTTACAACAGTACAACCAGAGCATGTAGTGGTAAGTTCATCTTTGTACATGTTCCGATGGGATTACTTCACACGGTTTAACCAGGGTATGCAGTGGTAAGTCTTTCTTTATACATGTTCCTTTGGGTATACTCGTAACGATAGAACAAGAGTATGCAGTCTCTATTTGTATATACAACCAGTAGGTCTTATTACAACAATTGACCATGGTATGCAGTGGTAAGTCTATCTTTGTTCATGTTCCACTGGGTTTACTTACTTTACAGTTTATCATTTAACAATATCTACTTCTATGAATATGTCGACTCAATATTTCACAGCAAATTCGAAATAAAAGACGCAATAGAGTCTGCCACATATATTTCATATCCGGATTTACTGACTGTATACGATAAGGGCTAACTAATTACTAAACTGTATGAACAAACGAGGTAACTTCAGCTTAACCATTGTCAACTCTTCCAATTGTCAACTCTGCTCCAAAATTTGTATTGTTTAATTGACTTTTGAGTTTGAATACTGTTCGTTATCTCTATATATTTCATTATTGATGTCGTCATATTCTAATATCATCTGAATTTGGTGCTTATGTCTCCCAGCATAGTCGATACTCAAGAGCATGCTCTGAGTACAATTTTTAAAACGAGAGAGGCTACTGAGAGATTAGTTTAAGTTACAGGGATTTCAACAACCTCGTTTAAAGTCAGTATTTCGTAAACTCTATTGTCGTCATAATAACCTTCTTAGCAAATACAACCTAGTATTAAGTCGTATTTTGACCGGAATACTTCATACCAATTGCTAAGCCTTTGGTTTTTATACTTTATACTACAGCCCAGTAGCCAAGTATTTTGGTACAATCTTAAAAATACGGATACATATTAAATTGCTGTGGTAAAATTCAGAAATTTTATTTCAAAATTAAGGATTATCTCCCTCATGCATAGCTCTGATCCTTCGACGTATTTGTTCTATTCTTTAACACCCCTTTTTCAGCTCTTTAAATTTTTATTTAAATATTTCGGATTTCCAACGTTTAGGCATGAGCATCACTGAAGAGACTGGCGAGAATACCATTGAATCTTTAAAATGTAATTAAAGGTAATTTAGGAAACTTCTTCATATTCAAGAATTCTTAAATATTTTCACCATTCCCTTTTTTGTAATCTTGTACATTTTTACTCATAAACAGTTAGAAGATTTTAAATCTAGGAGCAATGGTTTCAACTCATTGCTCTACTGGAGTAAATTCACGAGAGTCATCATTGTCGTGGGGGACCAATGTTCGTGGATTTCGTGGGTCACTCTTACCCACGAATTCACATCCCCATAAACAATAGCTTTGTTGCCCATGAAAGTCGACTCCCCATCCCTCCATATCAAAATGATTCCACTGTAATTATACGTCAATTGAATATTTGTAATAAGATTTCTATTTAAAATGGGTAAAAGCTTTGAATATTAATGTGTTCCAATTTAAATATGAAAAATATATTCCCTGAAAACACCTTATTTTTGTGATATAATTTCAAAGACTACTTTGGATACTTCCCTGTTTGTTGTAAATAGGGATTTAAATATTTGGAAGCAATCTACATGTATATTTCCAATACACAAGCAGTACATTCATGGTAGATATAGTATTAAAACGTAAACATTTATTTGATAGATTTTGATGAGTGTGACAGCAGTAGTTTAAACAACTGTGACATTGCACCCAGAGCTACCTGTACTAACACACCTGGTAGTTTTACCTGTGCTTGTAAATCAGGATACACAGGTGAAGGAACCACAGGGACATGCAAAGGTAAAATTTAAAATGTTTACTTTTAAAGTTACCGAAACATGTCAGGTTGATGAAGTTTCTTCTCAAAAGATACATTCATAATTGAAGAACTTATATCGAGCAGTTTTCTTCATATCCAAATTATGAAGCTCTATGCATACTGCATATCAAAAGCATAACTAAGAATTAAAGCTGCACATAATAACTCTCAAGTAGTCGTTTACAGCTGGATAAAATGAGACAAGTAATGTAAGACCAAACCAGCAGTGAATAGATAAGTTTGTCAAAAAGCTTGAATATCTAATTAACATCTAATCTGTATACATAAAGAAATTAAAACATATGAAATCCAAGAGTTTGGTTTTCTCATAATGAAAGTGAAATGTTAACTTAAGGCATTTTAAGAGAATTGATTGCCTAGATTTACTGGCCATGTATACCAAAATCCTCTTGTATCTCTTTTATTTCAGAGAATCGATTGGTCAGTTTTACTGACCATACAAAACTCTCCTTATATCTCTTGCTTTATTTCAGAGAATAGATTGCTCATTTTTGCTGGCTTGGAATACAACTCTTTTTTATATCTTGATCTTACTACATTTCAGGGAATAGATTGCTCAGTTTTACTGGTCATACAAAATTCTCCTTGCTTCTCTTGCTTTATTTCAGAGAATAGATTGCTCAGTTTTACTGGCCATACAAACCTGTCATCAGCAGCCTATTCTGCGTACTTCTTTCCACAATATGCCATTCCTGTTGGAAATTTCCTGTATCCTTCATTTTATGTAAGTTTTCAGAAACATATAAACACCAATTGTTATCGGTTCAAGTCAAAAAGAAAATTTAATTAAGATCTTTACAGTAGAAAATCGGAAGTCGGTAATTTTCATATCTTGTGATTGGTCATCAACAAAATTCCTTTGTAAAAAATCACTCTGATTCTTCACTCAAGTACTCAGAAGTTAATATCAAAACGATGCTGGAGTCCCTCATTCACAACATTTATGTAGTCTTCGGAGACCATGCAGGTTTTCCAACAAACTGTCCGTATTTCAAAGGACACTTTTGTGCTCCTTTATTAGCCAACCTGTTCTGATATTCCTATGAAGCAGAATATATTGAACAACTTCTACATGAGAAGACGAAAACACTTGCTATGGCCTTAAACACGACATTTAGATATATCGACGATGTATTATCAATTAACAATAGTTAATTTCATTCATATATCGATTCGATTTTTCCCAGTGAACTTGAAATAAAAGAGACCACAAGGTCTGCCACATCTATTTCATGTTTGGATGTTTTACTGACTATAGTCGAAAAGGGCCAACTAAAAACTACGTTGTAAGACAAACGAGATGACTTCAACTTTTCCATCGTAAACATTCCTTATTTATGTAGTAATATACCGCTATCACCTGCGTATGGTGTTTATGTCTCCCAACTTATTCGTTATTCAAGAGTATGCTCCGAGTATGATCAGTTTTTAAACCGAGACAGGTTACTGACAGATAAGTTAATGTTACAGGGATTTCAACAACCTCGTTTAAAGTCAGCATTTCGTAAATTTTTTGGTCGTTATAATGACCTTGTTAGCAAATATTACCTATCACTGGGTTGTATTTTGATTGACTTGTTTCATACCAATTGTTACGCCCTTGTTTTTATACTGAATTTGACTACGGAATTTTTTGTCAACCTGATCAATACAAAGGGCTCACGGCGGGTGTGACCGGTCAACAGGGCATGTTTACTCCTCCTAGGCACCTGATCCCACCTCTGGAATTTCCAGGGGCCAATGTTTTCTGCCCTCTTCACAGAATTGAATTGCTTATAGATATTTTGAGATCGATCACTGTTCGTTATCTTCACCTTTTTCATAACAATATCAAACCAAAACAAAAACACAAAAACTTAAACAAAAATAAAACGTATAGGAACATCCAGTTTGTTGTTTAAATCTACCAATATTTTCCGTTCAGTTTCTTTAGTTACAATTTAGATTTTGAAAAATATTTAAAGAGTAACTGCATCTTCAGAAATAAGGAAATGTACTTTTATCATTGCTACCTAAACTGTCTTGCTCCCCTCGCTTTCTTCTTTCTTTCTTTTTTTTTTTCTAAATAATACACGCAATATTTTAAGATATTCAGGAAAATAACTTATGTTCATGATTTATTTATTCATTGAAAATCTTAGGGGTATAAAGATCACATTTAGCAGAAAGGAGTTTGATATTATAAGCTTAACAATTGATGTAAGGTTACAGAAAATATAAACATAGAAGTAAAACCGAAATTTGTGAATTTTTCAGTTGAAATTAAAAGATTTAATTGATGCAAGGTTAAGCAAAATACACCAGAGAATAAAACGAAATTTGTCATTTTTCAGTTCACCAGAGGAGGGTTATTGCTGTTCTCCACTGTCACCAGTGTCAAAGAGAGTACAGGAACAAGGAGACTGTTCACCAATCCTTCCACGTTCTCCTTGGATTCATCATTCCAAGAAAAGGCAGCATTTGCTCCATGGTGGTCCAACATGGTTGTGGGGTCAGCTGTAAGTTGAAAACCATATACAACTGCTTTATCTTAGCAGTGTCTGTACTTTAACGTATACAGGAGTTCCAGTTACTGATGTAAACCAAATATTGTGAATTTATTTACGCTTGTGATTGATTGATTGATTGTATGTTGTTTAACGTCCCATTCGAGAATTTTTCACTCATATAGAGAAGTTACCATATACCGGTGAAGGGCTTCAAACTTTGACCTTTACTCGGCACTCAGGGCCATTGAGCAGTGAAGGAGGGGCCTCGGTTTTTAAGGTCTCATTCGAAGGACCCGCAACTTTCACTTCAAAGTGCCGAGCGCATAGCGAAGGAACAGTTGCTATCCATATTTTATCGACTTAGGTCAGTCGTCAGTCGCGGCCGAGATTCGAACTCACAACCTCCCGATCACGGAGCAAGCGCTCTACCGACTGAGCTACCGTGAACGGTATTTACGCTTGTGTCTGTTATATTTACATCTTTTGAACATAAAATTTAGTACCAACAGTGTTTATGTAACATCTTCATAGGGTCTTCAAAAATATAAATATTAATTTGATTAAAACAAAACTCTCTCTCTCTCTCTCTCTCTCCTAAAAAGTTATATCATTAAAACTCCTATATATCCTTTATATTAGAAAGAAGTCAACTTAGATTCATGTTTAGAGTAAGTATTCAAATTTTTTTTATGTACCAATAATCAAAGATGTAATATTTAAACCTTCCAAAAAGGTTATAAATCTTGCTTCAACATGTTCAATGTTATCTGAACGTCATTAGCACCATTTGCAGACTTTATTACTAAATGGATTTTCATGAAAGTGACACATTTGTCTTACAGGACAGTGAGAGCGGTGTATATTATAAGGAATATTCTTCCGATGATACAACTGAAAACAATTTTATGTTGGCACAGAGAAATGATTTCAATGCAAGTTTTGTTGGATTTAGCATGTCTCCTCCAAAGTATATGATTGTGATAACATGGAACAAAATGGAACGGAGTAAAACTCCACCGAGTCCATCTCAGGTAAGCTGTGTGTTTTATGAGTGTTTTGTAGGGAACGAAAAACTTAGTGGTTAATGCTGATCCTGTGGTAGAAAATGAGTAGTGTCTGTATTTCTGCTAATCATTTGTAAGAGAAAGGCTGATATATAAGTGGCACTGTTTGTTCTGATGCTCTAGGAGAGATGGGCATTGTAGTGTAGGGTGAGTTAACCATGCATCGGACACATACCTCGCTTCGGACAGTTTTAAGCAATAAACTTTCATTGAACCCGAGTCTCCCCGTGTTTTTACTTGCTTCTGTCTTAAAGGTGAAAATCTAAACTTTTTAATGATGCCGATTTTTATTTTCATGTTGTGATAAAAATACTGGTACCCTGACATTGGGTAACGGGCGCAAGCGCCCTGAAAAACCAACTTGTAATTCCTAGCGGCAGCGACTGGAATCAAGGGCAGAGAACCAGTGCTAATAAAAATACCACAAGAATGGCCTTGAAATAACGTCGTATTTTGCATCATCAAAGGGGAGTAACCAGAATTTTACGATTTTGCAATACTTAGAGTAGTCGTTCTTTTAAACAGACGTCAACGGAACGGGTCGGACCTCGGTAAAATTTATCAATAATTGATAATTTTACAGATTTTTAAAAAAAAATTACTTCAGTGTTTGTATAATATTTTTTAGAGTTGTTTTTAACTAGTATGTTTATTTCACCGTACATCGTATACAAATTAACCATACATCGGACACTTTCCGATGCATGGGTAATCACTTCCATTTTCATATAAAACCCAAATGACAACTGCTTTTTACGGAAATAGAAAATAGAAACTCTGAATTTTCAGTGAAAATGGTGAAAATGCAAATAATCGATATATGACGACTAGAAGTGGACTCAATTTATTTCTTTAAACTATATAACGGTAACCCACGAGACAAAGGCGCGAGTTGCCAAATTACTAGTATTGTAAGCCTTTCTAAGGCGATGTGATGCAACTAAAATCTCTTCACATTTGTGGATCGAAATAGTCATTCAAATTTAATTAGAAGGTTAATTTTTAAATAAAAGATAAAAATGTTTCGATTTCACTAATTTTAAAGCACCGAGATCAAGGTATGACATTTTTCTGGTTTAAATATCGTATGTCCGATGCATGGTGAATATCGTCCGATCCATGGTGAATTCTGACTTATTTCGAAAAAATCGGTTTCTAATGATATTTTCTCAATAAATAGGGCACGGATGTGTCAAAAATTTATATTTTAACCACATACTACATGTTAGGTTCCATTTTGATAATATTCGGTCGGTAGCGATATCGCTAGAACTTGTTGAAGTGCGAGGGTGTCCGATGCATGGTGAATTCACCCTAATTATTTGTGTACTTGTGAAAGAGATTTTCTAATGGATGTGAGGAAGAGGAGGTTGAACATACTAAGTTGTACATTATAGTTTATGTAAACTTAATGGAATGTTCATGTGAGAGTAATTATGCTGCGCTCTCTGTTTACAGACTGTAACTTTCCAGTTGGTGATGTTATCAGATTATGAGAACACCTATATTAAGGTCATATATAATGACAGAGAAATGACGTGGGACGTTCTGAACTCAGTGAGTAACTACCCAGTGAGGATTGGACTCTTGAAGCAGAATGAAACTGTTGAAGAATATCCTCAGTCTTATCTGGATCTGCTCTCTAAATCAGATGACAAAGATAAGATACAGAAGATTGATGAAGTTATTCCTACAGGGCTTGTTGGAGCTGTAGAGTAAGTAGATAATTCATTTTTGCCAATTTCCCCATCAAGAAGTAGTGCCACTGTCATATCGATAAAATGTCATTCTTCTGTTAAAATTTCTATTTGTATATGAAATATGAGCAAACGTGTATGAAATATGATAAACACCCTTTTAGAAAATTTTCTGAAAATTTTAAACACTTTCTGTATCTTTACAATCAGAATTTATCAATATTCATGCTTACATCCTAAATTACCAATTAGACCGCTGTATTTTATTCACTGCCATACGTATTATAGGTTACGACTTAAGCTTTGTTATTATATATAATCTATGTAATCTGCGTTACTAATTTTTTAATAAGATTAAATACATAAAGGCGAATATATATCAAGGATTTTTGAGAAGTGTAAAATGCATTTTTTTTTTATTTTCTTCTGTTTGAAAAACAAATTTTTTAAAAAAAATTATTCATAAAAATTAATTTTTTTTTACCATATCTCCCCTCTCTTAATGATGTTAAGAACAGATGATACAAAAAACGTTTATCGAAAATCTTGAAAATAACCTAAGTCATGTTTATATAAGTATGATGAATAAGTTTAATCGATAGATTTTAATGTTTTATTCAATTTTTCCCAATAATGGGATTTAAAGTGACAAGAATTTGTATAGATTAAAAAAGGATGGTTGCAGAAAGGTAGAATTTTGAACGTCATAGAAAGTTTACAATTTCTTTATATTTTAGAAATTTATTATTCCCATCATTTACAAACAAAATAGGTCCGAAGATATATACCAATTCAGGCATTCATTTTATTTGTATCATCTGTCCTTAAATGTTACTTTTTGCTTTTTTCAGGTGGGATAAAAAAGGTTTTGCATATTATCGTATCTCCAAGTCAGGTGGATCAACCTCACATCCAGGGCTACAATGTAGTGCATATATCGAAACTCAGAGAACTCGACAACAGACCTCACAGTACTCAGTTGTGACAGCAGATGTCAGCAAATGTCCCCCAACTTTATTGCAAATGACTGACTACTTTGCAAACTTCACGAGTGCAGGGATTCCCACCACCATGACATGCTACGCCAAGCAGAAAGCTCTGTCTTCAACAGCTTCAGATCAACAAAGTCAACGTTGTTGCTACGACAACAGTAACAAAGGGTTGATAACTGATTCCACCATTGCTAAAGGATATAACACATATATGTAAGTATAAGATTGAGTGATTGTATGTTTTTTACGTCGCATTCGAGAATTTTTCAATCATAAAGAGACATCACTATATACCGGTGAAGGGCTTCAAATTTAGATCTTTACTCGGCACTCAGGGCCATTGAGCAGTAAGGGATATTTATAGTGCCAACGACTGCCGCGACACGGAGCCTCGGTTTTAAGGCCTCATCCGAAAGACCCGCAACTTTCACTCCAAAGTGCGGAACGCTTGGCGACGGAACAGTTGCTACCTATTTTCTATCGATTTAGGTCAGTCGCAGTCGGGGTTTGAACCCACGACACTCCGACCACGGAGTTAATGCCCTACTGACTGAGCTACCGTGACGGTTAAAGTATAAGATGATTCCAGAAAATGAACAAAATCACTGAGAGAAATTGATTAACTGTAGAGAATTTTACTTCTTCTCTCATATTGAGACTACATCAACTATAGGTGAACTGTTCTTTTACTTACACAATGCTTACACAATGCACAAATGGGTCTTTATCGTACTCGCGCATATATACCTCGACACAAGTACAGATGTACCAGGTTTTTTAATGTCTTTTCATTAACCTTTTAATTAAAGCCTGTCAATTGCGATGAAAATCATAATATATATTTATTAAAATACATGTACTAAATGTAATTTGGTTGCGACAAAAAAAGCATGAAATTCCATCTCCATTTTTTACTCGAAGGCGGTTCTACCTCGAATACTCGACAAATAAATTAGAAGATGAAGGCGTTCCTTTTATCAAAAACTTAATTTTATCTTGTAGGATTGGTCAGCCGACATCAGAAGTACAAATTGCAGCAGATCAGAATTTTGGCACTTGTTGTAATGCAGAAAACAGTTACGCCTCAAAAATAGATCTTTGTGACAAGTTCTTGGAAGTGTTACCTGTGTGTTCCTCCGACAATTTTGTGGCCAGTGGAGCAGGTTTGAAGATTAAGAAATAAACATACGCATGCTTAACAAACTAGGGTAATAAAAAAAAATAGCTGGATTACAAAAGCAATCTGGATTCAGAGTTAAGTATATTTGAATATACGATTAAATACAAGTTTTTTCATAGAAAAATATTTTTGTTGGATAAGATCAATTAATATTTTTTCCTATGAGGTCAATGTCAAACAATCAAATCCCATCTTTAATTCTTGTGAAAATTTTGCCTTCTGTCATATCTCATTCCTTTTTGTTTGTTTTTTTATCTACATGTATAAACTATGTTTTTCCTTAAAATTTAAAGTGATGTTGATAAGATATATTATAAGAGTAAAAACTTTCATACCTTTGATTGAAATCCTTTGAATGCGTGATGAATTCGATTCCAAAATTCATCAAAAATGGGTTTCAAGGAGGGCGCAGTAACAGCTTGACTTCGAGGCTGCATATTTGTAAATTTGCACCAAAATCAAATGTGTATAGTGTTTATTATTACGGTAGTGTAACATGTAAAATATTTATAATTACAATCTTGTAACAAACATATTTAACAAACCAGCTTAAGTTCAAAGCAAATATTAGACGTTGGGAATAATAGCTAGTTTTCTTCTGAACTTTTTTTTATTTACATTCAAATACACATTAGTTGTGCTTTCAACTTCATTGTGAACTTCGAAAGTGGAGAAATACCCTCACCAATCTTACAAATGGGAAGTTTTCCATAGTTTCCATAGTTAACTGCAGACTTGTAGAAGAATGTGGGCAAGTACGTGTATGTTTAAAGATACACATGTCCGATGTGCATGCATGCGTGAAAAATTATCTTTCCTTACCAATAGGTGATCCCCATTTAACAACACTTGATGGGTTATCCTTCACATTCAATGGACATGGAGAATTTATTCTACTCCAAGCATCTGATGTAGAAGTTCAAGGACGATTTTCACCTCAGAGAAATCCTGCTGGTGTTAAGAGTGCCACCTACATTAGTGCTGTAGCCGGACAACAGTCCAGTCCTATTAGTGATAAAGTGGAATTCAGACTGAACTCAGGAAAAAATAACACAGGTTTGTTTCTGTCGTGTAGAATTTTGAATAAATCCTCAATGTGTTATATTTTTTGTTTTTGGCAGAAAAAATAAATGACAAAATTTCAGAGATACAAAGATGTATTCTGTTACATGAATATACAATTTTGAACATTAAACATTTTAGCTTATGTGTTTAAAACATTTGTTTTCATTCTAGCGGCCTTTATTTTCATCCTGCATGAAACAAAAAAAAAATATTTTTGAAACTTATTTTATCTTACTTCATATAACATGTTTAAGAACTTAGAAAATAATTCATAGAAGTTCTTTGATAAAACGAACTACATGAAATAATATAACCCACATACAATTATAGCATAATTCAATAATTTCCAGATATATGGGAGACAGCCTTCAAATATTAATGGATGCTTCAATTTAAAATAATCTTAGTCGACATCTGGATGTTGGAGATGTCTGCACATTAAAATTGAAACTTCCTTTTTAAAATTGGACTTTATACCAACAATGCATTTTTAAGAGCTACTAAAATATATTTCAGTTTCATGCTAGACAATAATAAAGCCATTAGATGTCCAGCAAGTGCTTTAACATTCAATAAAAAAAGTCCATAAGATTTTATTGTTCAATGCCATTAAGTATATGTGTAACATTTCTAAGTGAAACTTTTCTTTTACAGTTTGAGTACATCTAACGTTTTTCAGGGTGTATTTTGTACTCCATTTGTTAAAAATTACCTTCATAGAAATTCTCAAAAACGGTGTTCTCCAATCCGTGGATTTGTCATCAGGAGCCGTAGATTGGAATGAGGTCTCCATAACTAAGTCAGTTAGCAGCCAAAACATACCCACCTGGAAAATGATTTTTAGCGGCGGACTAACAGCCGGTATACAACTTAATAATCAGATGTTTCAGCTTGTTATTGAAGCCGCTTCCAATTATCGCAGTAATTTCAAAGGTAAGATTATCTGGCTTCATTCGACTTTAAGGTAGAGATTGATAGGTTGTCAACAAAAAAACTAACCATTGAAATTTTCTGAATTTTATATATGTTTGTGTTGAGTCTTTGTTCTAAATCATATTAAAAATTCAAGGTAGGTCATCGGGCTAGTTTAAGAGAAATTTGATAATTTTAATATAGCCTTCATCACCCACCGAAGAGCTGAAAAAGCAGGGTAAAATAATATAAGAAGAAGAAATGAAAAGGGCTATAAAATTTTTATTGATATATTAATAATCATTTGTCTTATATGAATTCAAACATCTGTCTATATGAATTAATATTTGACATCAATCTTAAAAGTATCAAGCATTGTAAACGAAAAACAGAATTACATTCACCAAGATGCATGGTCAGATTACGTTAAAATATTGCATATTCATTGCTCAAAGACTCACACTTCTGCTTCCACTGTGAAAAAATTACCCATCAAATTTATTTTTTATTGCATATTATAGTTAGTCAATAGGTATCTGAAATTTCAGAAAAAAATCATACTACATAATGGGGTTTAATTTCAACCTGGCGCAAGTTTATTATCTTACACCCTACCCTACCCCCTTCCTTTACAAAGGATGCACTTTTGAAGAATATGGTGACTAAGAGAGATTATCAAAGAATTCATCAACATATTTCACAGAAAATGAGTAAATTCTTTGTAATATTCATCTAAATTACATTTTATATCACAAAAGCAAATATTTATACATCCTAGACACATGTTGCCCTGGTTGACCTTTTTGCACTTACATTCAAACAGATATAAACTTTCCTTTATATCGTTAAAATTGACTTTGATAGATTTATTGTACATATGATTCTTGGATGAATTATCAATGACAATATCTTTTGACGAATTCTGTGCATAAAGAAACTGTTCTTTTAATCTTCCTTTGACAACATTAGTATTAATTTCACTTTCCTTTAACAATTCCTCTTTTCATTCCAAATACATGTATAACATGTATAAGAATACCCAGTGATTATGAAGTTGTGTAAACAGAATCAATCCACAGTATGTTATCCTTGTTTTAAAGATATTCAAATAAAAGCATGAGTTATGTGTTTCACTGTTTAATGAAGACTGCCTGGTCATCAGTAGTCAGATATTAATACACTAAAGCATCACATGGTAAAAAGTGCGGGGAAATAGAGAGTGATTCGGTTATCATTACATACATACAAAAATAGTGTAATAATTTACGTAAGAACGTCTAATCTATTAAAGGTAATAATTTGTAGCATTAAAGTATAGATTTTACACACACAGATTCATAAAAGTTAGAAGAATCCCACCATAAACTGTATATGATGGTGTACAACTTTTAAACTCAGGATGTAATTCAACAAAATAAAGTGAATACATTCAATAATATGTAAGTTTTTCTTGAAGTTCAAACTCCTCAAGTAATTTCAAGAAAATTGGAATGTCATTTGATACAACATTATGACCTACAACAAGAAAAGGATGGTTTGATTTAAGAAAATCTAAGAAATATAACAATGCTTGATGAATTTTGATGCTACATGTACATGTATTACCATTAAGATTCATTTGGAAAAGTAAGATAAACTTGTTATTTTGCTAGCTGCAGTTTTTTGGCTTATTGGCTGACGAAGATCAATCATTTATGAACACATGTATGAATCTTTAATTGCCATCATATGGATCCAGTTGTGACATGTTCAAGGAACCGGACAATTCTGTTGATTCTATGTCAATACAACAAAGGTGTTCTTTTCAGAAGGAGCTGCAATGAGCGGAATTCATTCTGTATATTCAGATTTTGAAGCACATATCTAATGGGTGGGATATGTCTGTTTCCTCTTTACTGTATCCTTCTGGTAGTTCTTTTTCTGAAATGAACAAATTATTTTAATATTTAAAGAACTAAAATACATGTATTACTTCTTTCTTACACTGCAAACATGGTATGACTATGTCTGTATTATGAATATAAGACATTTCTGTCAGATTATACTGTAGCAATACATTTTATATATATGTATTCATCAAATTGTCATGAATCTTTTAATCAAATGCATATATAGGCCAAGATCATGGGGTTAAAAAAAGAAATAAACATGTGAAATACAAAGACCCAGCAATAATTGTTTAAGAGTTAAGGCTGAAGGATAAAGTTTTGTGGAAAAAACACTACATGTACCTGTCAATGAAACATCTTCAATCTGAAACAATACATACAGCAACTAGCAACATGCTGTATGTGTACTTAAAAAAGCGGGCTTCATATTTTAGCAGCTTTGGCGCAGACAACGATGCACTAATTCAAGAATACTGCTAAGAAATCATTTATAATTTATAAATACAATATACAGCAGGGACATATATAGCTCGAATTCATGATTTTGCCAAAAATTCCACACCCAGTAATTGCACTAAATTTTAAATACGCAAATTTATGTATACATACAGTAACTATTATATGTGGAATTAAAATACATTTTTTTACACCATTCTTATTCCTTGGTTTTAATCCAGTCTTGTCCTAATTACCTTATTGACATAATTCCAATATTCTTTTGTAACACTGCATATGACACTTGATTATATAGCCAAGGATCATGTATGTCCATAAGATCTGTAACATGAAGAAAAGACAATAAAAATTAAAGTAGATAGCTTGATCTATTTAAAAGAGATTGTAGAATTTATTAACAATTCTGATTTAATTTGTAAATTTAATTTTTTGTAAATTTAGGTATGATAATGTGAAGAAGTCAGTATGTACATGTATTGTTAAAAAACCATGTCTCATAAGTTTTTTAACAATACTGACTTCTTCAGATTATCATACCAATTCTTTGGTGTTATAGTTGAAACAATCTCACTCAAGTTAGAAGACATCTTTAAATTTTATAATTTTTGGTTACATGTATTCAGTTTTTAATTCAATTTACAATGTGTGTTTTTCTTTGTATGTCTATACACAAGCATTTACCGGTACATGTATTTAAGTCAATAGAGCACCTGACTAGTGGTGCAGGGGTCCCAGGTTAGAATCTCGGTCCAGCCATACATTTTCCTCCTTTCCTGTCACACATGTACAGTTACTGTAGCAGATCTTTCTTGAATTTTCCTGAAATATGTATATGAACTTCGAAAAATTATTGACTTAAGAAAATGCTTCTACATGTATACAATAGTTTGTACATTATGGTGTGTAACTTAAGAATGTACGGACTAAAAATTTGAAATTTAATAAATTTATAATAATATAAAACACCCCCCCCCCCCTTATTTGAAAAATTTCTGGATTTTCCCTGATACATGTGCAAGTGTAAATTGAAAGGAAAAAATAAGAAAGGAAACAAATTAAGTTTTAAATACAAACCAATGGCTACTTTGAAGTTAATGTAAAAAGCACCCTTGATATTCCTCTTTCTAGCTGACACTTGATTTGAATGGCCACATTATTTCCACAGAGAATGCTGAATACACTGCCTTAGCCTAGCTAGTCCATATTTTGCTTCACCTGTAGTATTTAATATTTCTTTTAGTATTTATGATATCTCTTTATAATCAGGGCCCTTTTGAGCATACAACATATACATACATAATTTATTACATGTGCATAATTATTACATAAACTTGCATTTATTTAAAAATCTTTTGAATACAGCACCATTTAAACTGTAATTTATCATCTATGTATATGGTTCATAAGTTAACATGTAAAATATATGTACTTAAATAATATACAATGTTAAGTATTAAACAGGTCCAGTACAATCAGTACATGTATCTGCATAGGTTGAATTACCTACAGACGGCTACTGTAACTTTATTTAGCTACTTTGGGTAGCTTTATTTAGCTATTTCAATGCAACTTTTTACAAATTTGCTTTTTATTTCAAAAAGACAAAAGATCTAGAATTGCAAGTAAATTTCCACTATTACTTATCAGTCAAGGGCATCATGGAAACAAGTTATTTTTTAAATAATTTCTTTAAGTTATTAAATGTCATTATTTTGGGTTATCTTTCCCTGATTATGCTTTTCTTCAGTAACTTATTCCAGTTATTGATACTTTACTATTTATTATTTTAAACCTACTGGTATCTGATTAAAAGCTTTATTCATGCTGTACTTGGGTTATTAAGTAGATGGAAAAGGTTCATGACAGTAAAAGTAATCTATCTTTAAGATTTAACAAGTTGAAATTCAACAAATCACAACTTATTTCGGTAGATTTCAACCTTAACCGACCTCAATTTAGAACTCTTGCACAAAAATCTACAGCTTTGCACAAAAAAATGTAAGACATAGAGATTGTATGGCAATATCCAAGGATTTTAGGAAAATTAGTCTCACTGTTGGCAAAATTAGCGGAAGTTGTGTAATTGACCACTGAAATGTTCATGAAATGGAATTATTTTTCCCTGAAAAATATCATGATATTTTGATAAATATCATTCTATCTGCTCAGGAGATATGAAGTCTGTTGAGTCTATTAAAAGAAGTACATAATATTATATATTTACAACTTTCTCAGCCTTACATCATATAATCAGCAGCAAACTCAAAATTTGGATGTTTTTTGGCAAAATTGATAGGCATTCTACGTTTTAAGAATTAACTCAAATGATTAATTTCTTTGTTTAGTAATAAATAAGTGAAGTAACCTAAAAAAGTTATTTTAAAAAATAACTTGATTCCATCATGCCCCTGATTGCTTATACATTCAAGGGATTAATATTTAAAAAGCGATCCAAAGGAGAGAAAGTTTACACATTTCTGCGTTTTAATGCTTTAAGCAAAATATGTATTTCTATTGTTTGAGTAACTATACACAACCTGGTGTGCGTTTAGGCACAGAAAAGGATGATTACTTCACATTGTGCTAAATAATTACCAATCCGGCCTTTATCATGTTCACCAGAAATGTCTGGTCTTGTTATTTCATTCAAGAAGTAAGAGTCTGGTCATAAAATAAGTTTGACTTTGTAGCTAAATAAAACTACTTTAGTTAGGTAAATAAACCTATGTAGGTAATTCAAGCTACGTAGCTAAATCTAGTGATTGTACCAGACCTGTACGTTAAACTGTTAAACAAACATGCACCATAGTCGTAATATTCACCTGATGTATCTGAAACGGACACTGCAAACAAAACATTTGTTCTGCAAAATTTTTCCTTCTTCCATCATACCAATTAACATCTGCAGGGTCATGGCCTTTAATCAGTTAATGTCTATATTCAAAACCACATCAGACACAGATACCGGCACCCACGTGGTGCTGCAGTCGACAAGGGGTAGTTTCACCAAAATTATGTTCATGGTCGGTTTCAGTCTCATTTTCATTTCGATTCTTATTAAGGTGCTTCAATTTCGAGGACCGTCAAGATTAAATATGTATGGAAACTTTGTCTTTTAAACGAGGAAATTTTCTCGACTGCTTCGTCGGCCATCTTGTAGCATAGACAATAATGTGTAAATGAAGATTATTATTTGGCGGCGTTGCGGAATCCGGAAAAACAGCACGTGCTTATATGCGGATTCTATCTATCACGTGATTGCTATCCGTCTCTACCTTAAATTTAAATATTTCTATGATTGATCGATCGATCAAGCCACACAATGTTTGAAAATATCAACTATTTCTTCAGGACTGTTGGGTAATTTTGATGGTCAGACAAGTAATGATTTCACCTCACCTAACGGAACAATCACACCATCATCCTCTGTGGAAAGTGACATCTATACATATGGAGTTGAGTGTAAGTCTTCATTTCTCATTTATTACTGTTTCATGAAAGTTAGATATTGAAATCTGTCTGATTAAATTTCAAGAAATAAGGCTTAATTCATTCCAGTTTACTGAAATCTAAACGTTATGACCTATGACATTAAAAAGTCAGTCACAACCTTCTAACAGAACATTGATAAGAAATCCTTGTCTCACAAACACAGTTTTGGGGGATGGAGTGTGAGTGGAAATTTCCAATGGACTTTCAGAGTTTTTACCAGATGGATTTTTAATATTTAAGTGTGTTAAAATATTAGAAAAATGACAAAAAATAAATACATACAGGATAGAAATCAGATAGTTACAATGAAAACGAAATGTTTATTTATTAAAAAGGGGGAAAGAAGCAATTTTTGATGATATGTTTTAAGTTATCATTTATTGACTGGTCATTTCTAAATCATAACATTGCAATCGGAATGTTGCAGAGTATATAAAATATATATTTTAAAAAAATCACCTTCACAATCTTTACCTGAATGATGACTATAGTCTTGGTTTTGAATTAAAAGATTTTTTTCAAAAAATATAACTATTATTAATTTTATGATGAAACATGAAGATAACTAACAGAAATAAATCAAGGTCAAATATCCATCGGAAAAGTACGAACTGGGAGCAGAGCAAACATGGACCAAGTAAGCCTCCTCTGCCAATGGGCCACGCCCGCCGTGTGCTCCTTGTCATGATCAGGTAAACGGAAAAATCCTTAGACAATTCAGTGTGAAAATAATGCCTGACAATTTGTATGAAAAACGTCACTCAACATTTGACTTTACGATGGATTGTATTTGCTAACAAGGTCGTTGTATCGAACATAGAAATTGCGAAATGTTGACTTTAAAAGAGAATGTTGATATCCTTGTATCATCAAATTATTTGTCAAAAGCTTGTCTCGTTTTAAAAATTGTTGGCACATAGAATATGCTCTTGTGTGCCGAATGAACTGGGAGACATACATTCCATATAGAGGTGATACAATGTTCTTTTATTTTGCTACATATGTAATTAAATTTGACGATAGAAATGTTGAAGTCGTCATGTTTGTTATAGACTTTAGCTGTAAGTTTGCCATTAAAGTTTATCTCTGGCAAAATATCCATGTGGCAGAATCATGGTACCTTTTCTTTCAAGTTCAAAGAGATATATCGAATCAACGTAGGAATAAACATGATTATTATTAATTGATAAAACGTTGTCGATATATCTGATTGTCGAATTCAAGGCCACAGCAAGAGACTTCTTTCATGTAAAAGTTTTTTGTTAAATTCTAACTCATTAGAATAAAAAACCACGTCAGTTTATAACGGGGCGCAATTAGTACCCATGGAAATTCCAATAAATTATTGGAAGACCTGATCTCCAAAAACTTCTCAGATATTTCAAATCAGAAAGTCAAACATCTTTTCAATATCAACTTCGGAGTACTTCTGTGTAGAAGCAGAATGTTTTTAACATAATAATTTGCAAAAGTCCAATGACAAGGTATGTAATTTATGAGTTCCATTTTTATCGAAAGAGCAGTTGTCTAAATGTCAAAATGATGTCAAAAGACTGGTCTTTAATTTATAGTTTGGAAATCTTGTACAGTGTTCAGAGCCGTATCTTTGATATCATAATATGCTCTTTTTACAAAAGATTTTCAGGAAGCAATGTCCGAAATTGTGTTCTTTCTTACATTACCAAAACTGAAGTATTTGAAATTTAACTTCAGTTATTGGATATGGTTTAAGCCCATGAGTCTTTCTTTTTTTCTTTTTTTTTACATGTTTTAAAACATTCTTGGAGACTATCCACGTGATATATAGATAATGATAGCTGCACCATGGCAATACAATTTTCTTACCTGGACTTTCATTCCAAGACAGTGTAGGATGTATAACACTTTTCATAATCAAAGGATATTTCATATATGATTTTGAATCAAAATAAATAAATAAGGGTTCACGTTTTAAAAGGTTTTTATTGTTTCTGTCGTAAGTTCTAATTTGATAAAAATATTTATAGAAATTTGAAAATATTTTCTGTTTGGATATTTTTAGCTCATTTGAAGTATATTTTTGTTCAATCACTTAAATTCGAAATATATGTTCTATAGAATTAATATACCGATATTACAATTACCGTATGATTCATTTTTCTTTCGGGAGACAAGAAAGACCTGCTCTCTTCTGTGTCATGTAATTCCTAAGAGGTTGGAATGTTTGTTTTTATATAAGGTAATTCTATGTTGGTTATCATTTTATACAGGGCAAAACAATGCCAGCGACACTCTATTTACATATAATGGAGGAGACAACAATACCGCCTGGTCAAGCCACATAGATTCTTCTTATACCCCTGTCTTCTTCAATGCTGACCTGACTGTCATGTTTACAAATGCCTCAAAAAGAGCTACAGCCATCAGTACCTGTAACAATGGAGAAAGCACTGATTCTGATCCAGAAAAACGCAGGGAGTGTTACTTTGACTTCAAGGTCACTGAAAACGCTGCCCTGGCCTCTTCAACTTCTGACACCAAGACTGCTTTGGTGGAAACACAGTCCACTCTTGGTAAGAGCGTCAACTAGCCTTGTACATATGGGCTAGAAATATATATATTTTTGTGTTTTCTCTTTGTAGACTTAAAAGAAGTTAAATAAGACCAAAAACACTTAATTTCGAGTTGATCTTTTTTTTTTATATTACATAGTACACATTACTTATAAATTATTATTAGAGTACTTTCGGTAATAATCAATTGGCAAGTGCAAACCTTACTTTGATTTTGCCAAAATAGAATAAAAATTTAAAATTATAATTATATAGTGTTTCCATTGAGAAATTTTTATAATACATTTATCTTCAATGTTGGATTAATAACATGTAATGTTGCTTTTTTATTCAATGACAATACCCCATACTTTCAAAACGTACATGCAGTTTAAATGGATAGACTTGTATTTATTTTATATACCTCCTGTTGTCTACTGATGTTAACAATTGCTGCTATTGAAAAGATAAAGCTCATTTAAGATATATTAGTGAAGAGATATTTCTGGAACACGGAGTATTCCAACATCTACTTTATATTGTGTAGTACAACAAATTAAAGAAGGAGAGAAATTCAGTTAAAGAAAAAGAGTTTGTTAGCCTAGTAAACGAACACTCACAAATTAAAAAAGGCTTGGATATTTGCTCATAAGAACAACTCTAAGAGCAGAAAAATATGGTTTCATTTCTAACCCTACCAACTCTTTCCCTCTGCCCAATTCCATTCCATTTTTCAATGTTTTGCCCATGTGAATCAATTGTAGACAGTGGAATACTCAGTGTCTCAGAAGTTTCGCTAGTTTTTAAAATTGTTTGATAATAAATATCTACAATAGGCGTTCTTTAAAAAACACTCATTTTGAAAATTAGCAATGGAACAAAAGTACAAATAAAACGTTAACTTATTCATGAAAACTGCATATAAAATAAGAAAATAGCAATTATTGTCATTTTATTAAAAACATGATTTAAAACTATAAATATTTTATTTTTAAAATATTTTGAAAAATAAGTTCACGAAAAAATTCTCAGAAATTTCTAGGAACACTTTATATCATTCTTTTCAAAATTGAAATTATGATAAAAAATATCGATATTGTTCATAGTACTATTATTAATTATTGTGTTTATCCGAATCAGTTATAGAATCAATTTTTTTTCAAAATGAGATGTTTCAAGTTTTTATTTTACATGTTTGTGACCCTCACGAAAATTCAAAACTTCTATATTTCCAGCCAACTATCCACCGGAGATAAAGAATGGCAATGTTACAATAGAGGTATCAGTTGGCGGAAACTTCACACTACAACTTATTGCTGAGGATCAAAATGGAGGGGATACCATCTCCTTGTTTCTTAATAGTGATACTCCATCTGGACTTAGTGTGGATAATACAACAAAAATACTGACTTGGAGTGAAGTTCAAGACAGCAACTCCATGTCAATCCAGATCACAGCATCAGACGGAAAGGCTCAGTCGCTGTGGACACCAAAAATTAAACTTTGCAAATGTCAGGTAACTAGATTTGATGAATACATTAGTAGAATTTGTGGTGGAATACTCTTTCAGCATTCTTTCAGCATTCATTTCCTTTTTCAAATGTACTTTATCTTATTCAATAATAAAAATTTGCTAAGGACATGAAAGTTTACCAGAGTAAAGATTTAATTTTAAATTATTTATAAAGATATACAGAGTATGAAGATAAACATCTTTCAGAGAAAAGTGTAAAGCACCTGTATTGATAAGGTGGCTTCATGCTATCTTTTTGTCTGTTGTCGTGCGCAATTAATTTTATATAAATTCCACGTTCTTCTTGGAAACAGGTGAACCATTTTTAACATGTTGCACGACCTTTGACATATCTCTACCATTTTTGCTTCAACCAATACAAATTAAACGGTCACGGCAGCCTAGTGGCATGGCGCTCGCTTCGTGATCGGGAGACCCAGGTTTGATTCTTGTTCGCCCCGCAGCGTCAAACTTAAGACGTAAACATGGGAAGTGATTGTTCCTTTGCCAAGCGCCCGGCATTAGAAGTGAAAGTCACGGTTCTTTCTTATGAGACCTTGAAAAAGAGAGGTCCCGTGTCACGGTAGGCGTTAGCACGATAAAGAATCCTTACTGCTCAATGGCCCTGAGTCCCGAGTATAGGTTTAAATTTTAACGTCGACGTCTCTGTATGAGTGAAAAATTCTTGAATTTTAAACAAGATTAATAAGTTAAACAAGATGCAACCAACCATACCAATTGAAATTTGTTTGCTTCGTACAATTATAGATTATAATTTTCATACGCATGATCTTGGATATGTTAAAATTGTTCACATTAATATGTTTCTTTGCCAAACTATGTGATAACGATGAGTAGTTTTTAGCCTTTTTCACACAATAGCCCGACTCTACACAGGAGAAAAATTGTTACAGGTCACAAACAGGGATAAGAAGTAACTGTATAACACAGAATCGCGGTTACTGCAGAATTACATATTTTCCTTTCGTCAATTTTTTGTGGTTTGAGGTAGAACTATTAGTTCGTGGGGATTTGATTTCGTGGATGATGAATTGTTGAGTATTTATAACATTTTACATTTTGTGGTTGACATATATTCGTGGATCTTTCATACCTCGAAAACAATGAAAATTAACACCCCACGAAAATTAGTGATTAAGCAGTATTTTGAAAACTTAAGTGTATTTTGCCTACAAATTAAGCTTTTAGAGTCAACGAAATTTTTATAATTAAATCATGAGGATGTATGTTGCCTATTTCATTAAATTGACAAGTTATATAAGAAAATATAAGTTATATTCATCCGATTTTGTGTAGACACTTATGTCAATCAGGTGTCGATTAGTATTATTTCTTTCTTTCTTATTTTTTGAATAGACACATTTCTTTGTCAAATTAAAACTGTGCCTTTTTGCATTTCTGTCTCTTACTACTTTCTCTCTTCCTGCCTAGAATGGTGCTACCTGTGGCTTCAATGTAGACAGTAGTGACCAGTTTTATATTGTCCCCTGTACCTGTGTAACTGGTTATGATGGAGACTTCTGTCAGAATGACATGGATGGTTGTGCGGCCAGTCCTTGTTTTCCTGGAGTGACTTGTTCTGATGTTCTGGCTCGTGATCTAGCAACTACTCCAGACGGATTCCAGTGTGGCTCGTGTCCCACTCATCTAGTTGGCAATGGAACCAACTGTTCAGGTATATTATGTACTTTTATATGTATGATATTTTTTTAACAATCTTATAGATATCAATGTCACTAGCTTTTTTTAACTTTTAAGACATATATGCATATGCTAGTGTTATAGCTTCAACAATGCAACAGTTTAATTTATGATATCTTACATTAATATAAGAGATCTATTTAATATTAAGGAATATTAAAAGAAAAAAATTATAAAGTAAAAAATTTTCATACTTTTGCAGACAAGGATGAATGTGTGGAAAACCAGCCTCCTCTTTGTAGCCAGAATTGTACAAACATTGCTAATGGCTACACCTGCTCCTGTGTTAGTGGCTATATTTTGGGCAGTGATCACAGTACTTGTCAAGGTGAGTGTTGAAGGTTTATAATCCTCATCAAAATTTTAAGGTTTGGTCGAGATGGTTAGAAAATGCTCTTTTTACGATAGCATGGCATATTAATATTGACGTAGTTTTTTTCCGATTTCCACGGAATCACAACGTCTGTTCGATTCGCGGGTAGTAAATTACGCAGATTTTTAGATTGCCACAATATGCCTTAAATTGTACTTTAAGTACGCCGGGGAAAATTTCCGCGGAAAATTGTGACCGCGTATATCCGCATAATATTCTACCCGCGGGTTGAACAGAAACTATGAATCCGCGGAACATATAATGACCCTGTGGAGAAAAATACATTTACAGTATGTTGACATGCAAGACAATTGAGTGAACATCCCAGATACTGTATAGCTGTTTATATCCTGGATAGTCATCGGGAATCAAGTGATAATTATGGTGGAACATTTCTAATCCCTTTTGCAGTTTAACTACCTACAGAATATTGTCCTGAAGACGCATTAAGTGCCCTTATTCATATCAACTATAGCCATGTTAATATTCAGTTAGCACAATTTCCAAGAGATGATTTCTTTCTAATGGTGCACATTGTGCTTAGATGTGATCTATTCACATGTTATTTCTCACATTTTACCTACAAGATTGAATATTTAATGTTCACATGCAAGATATGTGTGTTAACTCGCAAATTTTCATGGGACATGCAGTTTAAATGTGTGTTAGATAATTAGCTCGCATGACACATTAAACTTTGCAATTTGACATAATTATCATCCATGTTAAAAAAAATCCGTAAACAAAAAGCATGTTGATATTAATAAATTGCATGTTGACAAAAGTATTATCCATGTCTTCATAAATAAGTTGTATGTCAACATACTCAAATTGAATATTAAAATTGTTTATTGCATGTTTCATAAAATTCCATATTGCAAGTAAGATGTCACATCTTACATGATGTTATAAATAAGTTCACATGATTATCTTGCATGAAATCATATTCTGTAGGCAGTCAACTAGCATATAGGCGGTCGAAACATGTCATCATGTCACAGTGGCATACTTTTGCCCCTATGCAAGTTATTTTCTATGAATTATTCACTCCTCCATGGCACCTGATCCCACCTCTGATGTTTTTGGAGGCCCATGTTTGCTCTGCTCCCGATTTGTATTGTTTAAATGGACTTTGAGCTTGAATACTGTTCGTTATCCCCATATTTCATTACATATGTATGAAGACTTGCACGATAATTATGTCAATGTATGAATTATGTTGCCATGCGATATAGTATTATTATTAGCATGTAAATAAAAATATTGAAAATGTATCTCCTTTCGAAAGGTCACCTTATCTACGTTGACAAGAGACTTGAGTGTGTAGTCATTTTTTTATTTTAAAAAATCAACTAATGATAAAATGAATGTTGCAGTAGTTTATTTTTTATTCTCTAAAGATAAAATTATTAATGATGCGCCATCTTAATTAATAATGATACAACATTCATTAATGATAAGATATTTAATTAGAGGTCAAAAATTTTGCAAAATTTTATCTTCAGTGAACAAAAAAATCAACTTTTGCAACATTCTGTCATAAGAGGATTTTTTTAATCAGTAATGGTTGCTTCAATGCTATCATGCTAATAACTATATTTTATATGAAATTAACTTCAACATGTAAGCGTCAAAATGTAACTAATAAGAAAAAACGGTTATTATTTTAAAAAAGATAATCATATATCAAAATAAGGTAGTTAAGCAATACGTAGGCCAACATGTAATTGATTTACATGGACAGGCAAAGACATTAAATATTTTCACTGAAATATATTAAAATAGGGAATTAAGTATAAACATCAGTTTTGTTAATTAGCATTTCACAACGTTATTCGAATGATTTTATCAACTGGCAGTTTATTTAATTAAATAAAGATGGCACATTTAACCTTCACAAAAACTAAGAAGCTTTGTTCCAAATAATTGAAACTATTGAAATTTTTGAAATTTCAAATTTATTTTTGCCTGTCTGTGAATTATTTTCAGTTTTTGTTCATTCTCAATCTCAGTAAGAAGGAGGAAACAGTAGAAATTTCTGTTGTCAACTACAATTATAAATAATTGTTCACTAGATTTTTTTTAAAAAAAATTTCAGACATAGATGAATGTTTGATAAAGACGGACAAATGTGATGCTGCGACCACAGTTTGTAATAATACTGTGGGTTCTTACACGTGTGACTGTAAAACGGGCTTCAGCACTGATACAACCTATGCATGTACAGGTAAGATAATTGTGATTCATAATGGACTCTGTTTATGGGCATACAGGGTGTGATGGGTGGTAATATTCTTTTTATTTGTTCTGTTATCAGCTATATTCTTCTATGCACCACAAACAAAAATTTCCGGAAAAAAATTCCGAAATCTTTAAGAATTTATTTTTAAAAAACTAATTCTGTTAACTTGCTGTTAAGTACAGTGTCCAGAGAATAAGAAGAAAAGAAACTGTAAGCGTTCCCTTTTTAGTTCACCTGAGCCGAAGGCTCAAGTGAGCTTTTCTGATCACTTTTTGTCCGGCGTCCGTCTGTCTGTCTGTCTGTCTGTCTGTAAACTATTAACATTTTCGACTTCTTCTCAAGAACCACTGGGCCAATTTCAACCAAACTTGCCACAAAGTATTCTTGGGTAAAGGGGATTCAAGTTTGTTCAAATGAAGGGCCACGCCCTCTTTTAATGGGGGGATAATAAAGAATTAGTGAAAAATTAATAGCATCTTTTAAAAACCTTCTTCTCAAGAACCAGAGGGCCAGGAAAGATGAAACTGTAGTGGAAGCATCCTCAGGTAGTGTAGATTCAAGTTTGTTCAAATCATGACCCCCGGGGGTAGGGCGGGGCCACAATGAGGGTCAAAGTTTTACATAGGAATATATAGGAAAAATCTTTAAAAATCTTCTTCTCAAGAACAGCAAAGCCATTAGGAGTCATATTTATATGGAAGCATCCTCAGGTAGTGTTGTTTCAAGTTTGTTAAAATCATGACCCCCCGGGGGTAGGGCGGGGCCACAATGGAGGATTAAAGTTTTACATAGAAATATATAAGAAAATTTAAAAATCTTCTTCTCAAGAACAGCAAAGCCATGATGAGTCATATTTATATGGAAGCATCCTCAGGTAGTGTAGATTCAAGTTTGTTCAAATTATGACCCCGGGAGTAGGGCGGGGCCACAATGGAGGATCAAAGTTTTACATAGAAATATATAGGAAAAATCTTTAAAAATCTTCTTCTCAAGAACAGCAAAGCCAAGATTGGTCATATTCATATGGAAGCATCCTCAGGTAGTGTAGATCCAAATTTATTCAAAACTTAACCCCCGGGGGTAGGATGAGGCCACTATGGAGGATCAAAGTCTTAAATAGAAATATATAGGAAAATATCTACTTCTGAAGAACTGCAAAGCCATGATTAGTCATTTTGATATGGGAGCATCCTCAGGTAGTGTAGATTCAAGTTTGATAAAATGATGACCACCGGGGATAGGGTCGGGCCACAATAGGGGATCGAAAATTTTAGGAACATTTGGAAAGTATCTTCTTCTCAAGAACTGAAAATCATGTTTAGTCATTTTGATAAGAAAGCTTCCTCAGGTAGTGTAAATTCAATTTTGTTCAAATGATAACCCCCGGGGGTAGGGCGGGGCCCAATGGGGGTCGAAAGTTTTACATAAGGACATGTAGAAAAAATATTTCTTCTCAAGAACAGAAAAGCTATGTTTAGTCATACTGATATAAATCTTCTCAGGTAGTGTAGATTCAAGTTTGTTCAAATGATGACCCCTGGGATACGGAGGAATATATGGGAAATTTTTTTAAAAAAATCTTCTCAAGTACAACAAAGCCATTTGTTATATTTACATGGAAGCATCATCAGGTAGTTTAAATTTCAAGCCAACCCACCCCACCCCACCCCCATTGGTAATCTTTTTCAATACTGAACTGACTTGTGTTTTTGCTTAGCCAATGTGCTCAGGTGAGCGTTGTGGTCCATGGGCCTCTTGTTTTTAGGAAAACTCTGTAATTTAAAAAATCTTCTCACTGAAAATGACTAAATACATAAGATTTTTTAGAATTCAATTTTTTATGTTTTTAATATTCATTGAATTACTTCAGTCTTTATATATAATTTGTTTGTAATTGTAATCTTTATATATAAAGACTTCAGTCTTTATATATAATTTGTTTGTACTGTGTAATTATAATCTTTGATATTCTAGATATCCTAAGAATCCAAACAATATGATTTAATTCGTTTCAAGATAGTTGTCGTTATATATGAGCTATGGAATGTACAACATTGAACCTGTTTTATAATAAAGTTGTTCTTTTGCTATAGTTCTATTTTAAATGCATTATTTTAGGCTGTAACTTACTCTGCAATATATTTTCTGCTTAGCTCTTCCTATTCTGTACTTTATTTATACAATACCAAAAATATTTATTTCTATGTCCGTATAATCCACCCTCTTTTTGGTATCCGAAAAATTGAAATTCTTATCTTTGGAACTCAATTTTGCTATCTGCTCATTCTTATCCATACAAAAATGTCATATCAATACTTTCAATGATAACAGATAGAATGACGATAATTTTTATCCAATTTTGTTTTTCAGATATCAATGAATGCTCCTCCAACCCCTGCCCGGTCAATTCCAGGTGCGAGAACACTGTGAGCAGTTACACTTGTACCTGTAACTTTGGATATGAAAAGAACACACAGACCAATACATGTGAAGGTGAGTTCAGATCCCGCATGTTATTACATGTACGTATGCTTTATGTTAAATCTTTGTTTTAGGCTTTATGTGTGAATATGAAAACTTTATTTAAAAAAAATATTTGGATCCTTTTTTTCCATAAGCAAAAATTTATGCTGATTTAAATAATTACATTTTCTGTCATTTTTAAAAATCATTTTCTATTTTCAAACGAATTTTTACGCTTTTCACTGAATTTAGAAGCTACTAGATGACTATAATTACTACTATATGACTTTAATTACAAATACTATTCCTTCTGACCTTGATTTTTAGACAGAGATGAGTGTGCGGGATCCAACAATTGTCAACAGAAGTGTGTAGATGGTGTGGGGACCTACACATGTTCCTGTAACACGGGGTACCGTCTCAATGAGACCGATTTAGTCAGCTGTTTACGTATGTTTATAAATATCAGGCATTTCATAATTCTCCGCAGTAAAATACATTTATGCCAATTCGTTTGGGAAAATTCTTACAATAGGTATAACAATTGACGAGGTTATTTCAGATTTTAATGTTCATGTATCTTTTTATCTAGCTGAAAATGAGTGTACAGCAATCAAGAAATCAACCTGTGATGGAGGAAGTGGTCGAGCTTCATGTGCCGTGTCTAATGGAGACGTCCTATGTTCTTGTCCCTCTGGTTACGCACTCAATGGAACAAATTACTGTATTGGTAATATGACATACTAACATTAATGCTGACAGAAATTAACAAAATCATGGACAATGGTAGTAATTTTATGCGTAATCGAAGATAAGCAAAAGTTGTTTTCCTCACCATAACTTAAAATGCTATAATTTGCTGATATTTATTTGCGCATAATATAATTTGGTTTTAAAGGCATATCAAATATAAGGCAAAAGATCAATACGAAATATGACGATAAAGAACAGTAATCAAGCTCAAAAGTCCATTGGAACATTACAAATTGGGGACAGAGCTAGCACGTATCCTAAAAAACATCAGAGGTGGGATCAGGTACCATGTAAGAGCATCCCCTGTCCACCGGTCACTCCTGCCGTGTGCTCCTATAATGATCGAGCGAACGGAAAAAAAATCCGAAGACAATTCAGTGCGAATATAATAGCTTTTTATTAATTAAATATGATATATCTTTGAGATGCTTGGAAATAAAATTAAAATGTTGATGTTGCCAGGAAAATGGAAATAATATACATTCTCTTTTTGTTATATTACCATCTGCAGACTTTTGTTCTATTCAGGTTTTAAATATTATAATTTAGACCAATTAATTAAAAGCAACAAATATTTTTTTTTTTCAGAAATTTCGGTTACTAGTCTATTCATCATTTCTTATTTTATTTTTCACATTTATTTTCCTTCTAATTAAATCTTTATCATCAGATTTCAATTAACAATAAAAAGTAAAGAAGATATAATCGAATTAATGTTAAGCTATTGTGACAGAGTGTATCATAGATTTATATATATTTTAGATATTGACGAATGTAGCACTGGAGCTGATAATTGTGTGAAGACAAAGAGTGACTGTATCAACTTACAGCGTGGCTTTAACTGTCAATGTAAATCTGGATACAAAGCACTTAGTGCTTTCGTCTGTGCAGGTATATTATATATTGCTTACATAATGAGGTCTGAAGTCTTGAAATATGTACGTTAAGTATATATTTTTTAGTGTGTGTTTGAGGTATCAAGCAAGGAGTAAGCCCTTTAATTCTATTGTATTAAATTCGTGCAGAAGAGCGGTTTGTGTTGCTACATGTAAGTATTGCATCTGGTATTTCAGTAGTTAACAAGTCATTTTTAAAGCAGTTTCTGTATATGCCCCCCCCCCTTCCCAAAAAATTTAAAGGAGGTTACGTTTTCATCTTGTGTTCTTTTGTCTGTTGAAATTTTTATATTTGGGACATCTAGATAAACGATGAAATCAAGAAGGAATCTGTTAGATATTTTGAATTAGGTCAACCAGAATTTTGTCTATCAATACTGAAGCTACAACAAAAAACAGAATTTAACAATGTGTAAATCATTTCAAATGTATCATCTCATTAGGTTATTTTTTCAGCTATCTAGAGTCAACTTTTGAAAAGCAATTATTTTTACAGATAGGGTATGGATGTTTGTCTCAAACTGTAAATTCTAATTCTCATACATGTTTTGTCTAGTTGATAAAATAATCTGGATAAAATTATTATATTTTCAAAATATAATAGTAATGGGTGAATTGAAACAAATTAAGTATTGATGAGCATACAATTTTTAGACAAAATGAAATGGAATACTTCTAAAACTTTACTACTGTGGTTTTATTAATTTCGTGGAGATAAGATTTCGTGATTTCGATACTTTTTTTTCATATGTAAACCCGTGGAATGCTAAATCGTCCTACAATGTATACTGCCATTTGTGAAATATTTAGGCTTTACCAAAAAAAAACGGAGACTGGTGCTTAACAAAAAATGATGACACCCCACTTATTTTTATTAAAAATCTTCTTCTCAAGAACCACTGGGCCAGAAAAGCTGAAACGTATGTGGAAGCATTCTTGAATAGTGCAGATTCTAAATTGTTCAAATCATGACCCCCGGGGGTAGGACGGGGCCACAATAGGAAATCCAAGTTTCACATTGAAATATATAAGAAAAATCTTTAAAAATCTTCTTCTCAAGAACCACTGGACCAGAAAAGCTGAAACTTAGGTGGAAGCATCCTCAAGTAGTGTAGATTCTAAATTGTTCAAATCAAGACTTCCGTGGGTGATACAATAAGTATTACAAGGGGGGGGGGGGGAATCTGATAAAGAACAGCACGGCCAAAGTTACTCAGGTGAGCGATGTGACCCATGGGCCTCTTGTTTTCAAAATTGACTTTCGTAAATTCACTTATTTTTGGGGGTAAAATTTTGAGAAAAACATATTGGTTCGTAAGGATTTGATTTCGTACTCTTCATTTTGAATTTTAGAGATTTCGTTGAGGACTTCAATTAATGAAAATAACGACAATTAAATCCCGTAAATAATACTGGTTTCACAGTATTTTAGTTTTTCAAAATTTCTTTTAAAGTGATACAAAAATGTATAGATTGACAAAGGCCATCGCTAAAATGAAGGAATTTGAACATCATAGAAAGATGACGAGTTCTTAAATTTTACAGATAAAATGTGTCATTTACAACCGAAAAAGCATCTAATATTTGTGTTTGTAGCACGTCCTTTACTTATGAAAATCTGCAAGTGCTATTTTCGATATGATTGTTGATTACACGTATGCTGTAAACAATTGCTATATGATCAGTAAACAATGGATAACCTCATACATCGAGATATGTTCAAATAGAAATTGGCACTGGAGTTTAAATTTGTAGATTTTTAATCACAATCATACATGTTCAATCCGATTGCCAATTATTCCACTTTTTAGGTCACCTGAGTAAACTCAGGTGACCTATTGCTATCCGTTTTCGTCCGTCGTCGTACGTCGTTCGTCGGTCGTAAACTTTTGAACATTTTTAGCTTCTTCTCTGGAACCACTGAACCAATTACATCCAAATTTGGTATACAACATTTATGGGTGAAGGGGAACAAAAATTGTGAATTTCATGGTCCCTGCCCCCCTGGGGCCTGAGGGGTGGGGCTAAAACCACCAAAAATAATGCAATCTTTAAAAATCTTCTTCTTTACTCCTGGACATCAAGCAGTCAAACTGTTGGCATCATTGTAATGAGCATTGAGCCCTCTACCAAAATTGTGAAATTCATGGCCCCAGGGTCAGGGGTTCTGGTCCCAGGGTGGGGCTATATAGATCATATAGTGAAAGTGTGTTATTTCTTCTTCTCTGCTCCTGGGTATTAAATAAAGTTACTAAGTACATAGTTATGATGAGTAAGAGTGCCTCTTCCAAAATTGTGAAATTCATGGCCCCAGGGTCAGGGGTTCTGGTGTTAGAGCGGGGCTCTATTGATTATATAGTGAAAATGCATTAATTCTTTGAAAATCTTCTTCTCTGCTCCTGGGTATCAAATAAAGTAACTAAGTACATAGTTATGATACGCAAGAGTGCCTCTTTCAAAATTGGGAAATTCATGGCCCCAGGGTCAGGGGTTTTGGTGTTAGGGCGGGGCTCTATAGATTATATAGTGAAAATGCATTAATTCTTTGAAAACCTTCTTCTTTGCTCCTGGGTATTGAATAAATTAATTAAGTACATAGTTATGATGAGCTAAAGTGCCTTTTTAAAAATTGTGAATTTCATGGCCCCAGGGTCAGGGGTTCTGGTGTTAGGGCGGGGCTCTATCGACTATATAGTGAAAATGCATTAATTCTTTGAAAATCTTCTTCTTTGCTCCTGGGTATTAAATAAAGTAACTAAGTACATAGTTATGATGAGCAAGAGTGCCTTTTTAAAAATTGTGAATTTCATGGCCCCAGGGTCAGGGGTTCTGGTGTTAGGGCGGAGCTCTATTGATTATATAGTGAAAATGCATTAATTCTTTAAAAATCTTCTTCTCTGCTTCTGGATATTTAATAAAGTTGCTAAGTACATAGTTATGATGAGCAAGAGTGCCTCTTCCAAAATTGTACAAATTTCATGGTCCCAGGGTCAGGGGTTCTGGTGTTAGGGCGGGGCTCTATCGACTATATAGTGAAAATGCATTAATTCTTTGAAAATCTTCTCCTCTGCTCCTGGGCATTAAGGTGACAAACTAAGTACATAGTTATGATGAGGAGGTGAGTTTCTTCCAGAATTGTGAAAGCCATGGCCCGTGGGTCAGGGGTTCTGGTGTTAGGGCGGGGCTCTATTGATTATATAGTGAAAATGCTTTAATTCTTTGAAAATCTTCTTCTCTGCTCCTGGGTATTATTTAAACAAACTAAGTGCATGGTTATGATGCATAAGGATGCCTTTTCAAAAATTGTGAATTTCATGGCCCCAGGGTCAGGGGTTCTGGTGTTAGGGCAGGGCTCTATTGATTATATAGTGAAAATGCATTGATTCTTTGAAAATCTTCTTCTCTGCTACTGGAGACTATTTAAACAAACTAAGTGCATGGTTATGATGCATAAGGATGCCTTTTCCAAAATTGTGAAATTCATGGCCCCAGGGTCAGGGGTTCTGGTGTTAGGCGGGGCTCTATTGATTATATAGTGAAAATGCATTGATTCTTTGAAAATCTTCTTCTCTGCTACTGGAGATTATTTTAACAAACTAAGTGCATGATTATGATAGACAAGGATGCCTCTTCCAAAATTTTTAAATATGTCGTTTCAGTTTTGGGTGTTCTTGAGGGGGGGGGGGGGGGCTCTATTGATTATATAGTGAAAAAGCATTAATTCTATTAATTAATCATTAATTAATCCTGTCGGCTCCTTAGTGTTGAGCTGATAAATAAATTGCTTAGCTATGATAAAAATGGGAGCTTCGAACAGAATTTTCAAATCTTGTGGTCCTTGGGTCAGGGGTTCTGGCATAACGAGAGGGGGGGGGGGATGTTGATAATATAGTGGAAAAGTGTTAATTCTTTGAAGTCCATAGTAATGATGATGAGGGTAACTCTTCAAAATTTGTAAATTTCTTGACCCTTGGGTTCTGGTGTTAGGGTAAGGCTTTGTTGAATCTGTATTGAAAATGCATTGTACCTGTGAAATTCTTCTCTGCTTCTTGGCATATCGGAAGCAAACTGAATAAAAGTTTAAATGATATGAGTAAGCGTATTTCTACCAGATTTTTAAACATCTGGACCATTCGTCTAAGCATTCTGGTCCTGGGCAGGGCTCTATTAATTTGTATTCTACTGAGAGAAGTTATTCCCCTTTTCCATTCACCTTTGATAATTAATCACTGTAAATAATGTATTTAAAAGGTTAATAGAATAAGATAATTATGCAAGAATGTTTATCGTATAATTCAAAAAGTACTTTCTTAGTTTTAATAATCAGGTAGACCTGTAAGTAATAGATAAATAAAAATGAGACAAAAATAACTTATCTTATTAAAAGTTCTTCAAAGACCATAAGAGGTCAATGCTAGAGGTCTTAATATGGGTTTATAAATAGTACAGAAGCACTAATAGTTTGTTAATAGGCTGCATGGTGATTAGTGTTAAGTGGGGGACAGATTAGAACTCAATTTCTGAGTGAATACTAGACTAATTATTTTGTTGATCCTGATCTTCCTACTTCTCTTGTTTTTGTTCCTCTGCTCTGCCTCTGGGTATTAAGTAATCAAAGTAAGCATGCTAACTGTATAGTTATAATGAGCAATAGTGCCTCTTTCAAAATTGTGAATTACATGGCCTCTGGTTTAAAATACAAACCAAATTCAATAGTTGGAAAGTTGTTACACAATACTCAGGTGACCTATAAGGCCCGTGGGCCTCTTGTTTAACTTGACTATACAGAAACAGGATACAAGTATTAAAATATAGATGAATAGAAAGTTCACTCAATCATGAACAGCATTTAAGAACACTTACTGCATCCTTCTTTTGGATGAGTGCTAGGTTCTTACAATACTCATCCAAAACACCGACGCTGATATTTACTGAATGATTTTTCTGTGACAAAGAAAGTACACTGCATAAAAATTAGACTAATTGACAGATGAAACAAAAATCACAACAGTGAAATACATCGAGGCTAAAGTAATGAAAGAGAAATAGATGAATTACCAAGGGAAAAATACAATTTTTTTTAGGTTAAAATCGTTAAATTTTTTTTATAAACATTTGTCCACATTATTCTATTATATGATGAGAACGCTTTATAAAGTAGAAATGAGCAAAAGAATATTTTTCAATAGCTAGACAAGATAGATTAGGATAAAATTTATATCTTGCATATTTTGACAAATAAAGAAGACCATTATCATATGTAACATTTACTCCCTAACCTTATCTTTTAGATATTGATGAATGTGCATCATCCAGCAACAACAGTTGTATCAGCCCTGCCACCTGTACAAACAATGAGGGAGGATACCTTTGTGTGTGCCCCTCAGGTTATGTCTCCTCCGGTCAATATAGCTGTAATGGTAAGTTGTTCCTATCTTTCCTTATTGAAATGCCTTGGAAAAATTCTTCATTCTGATTACGTTTCTTATAGCAGATCTTAAATTTTGAAAGCAAACATTGTCAATTTTGTGGGGAAAAAGACCAATAAAAAAGAATCCAATATTTATTTTCAGACATTAATGAATGTGCCTCTGCTGCTACACATGCATGTGATAAAAATTACGGAGAGTGTAGTAATACACCCGGTAGGTACACCTGTACCTGTAACAAAGGGTTTACTGGAAATGGATATGTATGTGCAGGTATGAACAATATTTGAAGTGAATTAATGGTGATCAATTTTCAGACATTATAAAATAACTTTTTTTCAAAAATGGTTCTTAAATACAGTTTTACTTGATAAAAAAACTTTTTGTTCTTGAAGGCTTATGAACTTAAGATAAATCAATCAAATATATGATTAAATAAATTTACTTGTCATATAAAATATACTTTATACGTATATTATGAAGGGGATTTCTTTTTATAAAAAAAAAGATGAAATATGTAGGCAACAATTTCTCGTAATTTTAGTGGTTCTAAAATGATAATAAAATCTTCAGATTTGAACGAGTGTGCATCAAGTACAACTAACAACTGTACCCAGATCTGTTTTAACAGTATTGGAAGCTATACCTGTTCCTGTCTAAATGGGTACCAGCTCGACGCAGACAAAATCACCTGTAATGGTAAATGTTTAACACCTTAAATTTTATTCTTTTATTTTTATGACAAGTTCTCAACACTTGTATCACTTGTCGTGACCAACCTTATGCCCCTCATGAGTTTTGTTAGTTCCATGTATTTTTAAGAGAATTGTTGCATATTGTAAATAAATACAAAGTAACAGATATATAAAACCTAAATCCTATCTTTTCCTCACTAAAATTCTTTTTATATCCAAATGGTGATATATATTCATATAAAAATATATTTACATGACAGATTCAAATAAAGTGAGTTTTTGTACATAAATGATTGCTAGCTTTATTTCATCATTTGAATTTCAGATGTGAATGAATGTAATGACACTTCTGCTAATGGTTGTTATAGCAACAGCTATTGTACTAACACGGTGGGAAGCTATACATGTTCCTGTCCTATTGATTACCGACTTAAAGGCGACGGAAAAACTTGTCAGTGTAAGTATTTTGACGTTTGTTGATTGAAGCTTAATGAATATCAATTTTGTAAATGAAAAAGTCCTTCTACATGTTCGACACATATTTGGAGGAAAACGATATTTGGTGTTAATAATTACAGAAATAGGTTTAGAAGATTTAGAATATTTACTTGAATGCTAGATATACAAGTTACTGTGAACTTTTTATCCCACTTGAATTTTAGGTAGTCTTCTGATAACGTCAGAAAATTGGTTTGAAGGAGTAGTTAAAGGAATGAACACCAGAAATAATCATTTGTAAAATTTATTTAAAAATGTTCTAGAATTTTTTTACCCCCCTAATTGAAGACCCTGGGACATATATCTTTTGGTTTCTCGGTCTGCATATCTTTCTGTCTGCAAAAATTTTAACCTTGATCATAACTTTTGATCAGTTGCGATTAGGGCTTTCATAATTCACAGGTGGTTTTCTTGTGACCAGCCCTTTCTATGGGTACCAACATTTTTTACCTCATTATCGTGACCTTGGAGTTTGACTTACCTTTGTTCTACTTTTTAATAGCTTTAACCTTGATCATGCTTTTACACAGTTGGTGCTAGGGCTCTTATTTTCCATATGTGTTTTCCATGTTGCAAGACTTTTCTTCGAGTATCAAACATTTCTGACCTCATGACGTTGACCTTAGAGTGTGACCCACTTTAGTCCGACTTTTGAAAAAATTGAACCTTAGACATAACTTTTGAAAGGTCTTTCATATTTCACTTGTATATTTCTTGTGCCAAGACCTTTTTTGGTTTACCAACACATTTGACCTTGGATTTTGACCTTCTTTTGTAAAGCTTTTTACCTGCTACCTTAAAGCTATAACGTTTGAACAGTTGCTGCTAGCGCCTTCATATTGCACTTAGACCTTCCTTCTTTAAGTATAAATAATTTTACCCATGACCTTGACCTTGGAGTTTGATATACTTTTTAAAAAAAGATGCCATATTGGGGCATCAGTGTTTCACATCTAAATATTTGTTAAATGCAAGATTCCATTTTAGAATTATTTTATCAATATAAATTCTATATGAATTTATATGAAAGGAGATGAAAATGTATTTCTAGATCAGACTTTTATATGGTGAATTTGACACAATGTTTTGTATATAACAACGCGTATATAAATGCTCGTATTGAAAGGTGATGGAGGTCATATTTCACCTTTTTTGGACCTGATTGAAAGTAAGTTGAATCGCTTCATAATAAGATAATAATGTATGTGTTTTAAGCCATTTACCAGTGTGCAGCCAATCATGGATGTAGCCATACCTGTGGCAGAAAAAACAATATAGACACCTGTTCTTGTCCTACTGGTATGGAATTGGATAACACAAATAAAACCTGTGTGGGTACGTATTACTATCATGCATTAGATATTTTTTTCCATCAGTACTCTAACAACAGGTATGTCATTAAATGTCATTCTAAAGAGGATGATGTCTGCAGAACTTGGTACAAGCTTGTTACTTAAATATATTCATTTATATTAAGTAATTACACCAGGAAGGGAATACTTTGAATTTTTTTTACTTATTTTTTTTTTGATTTAAGGCAAAAGATTTTCATTTTCTTAATTAAACTGAAAAATATTAAGCTTTTATCAGTTTAAATTGGTCAGCAATTTTGATGTCAATTTAAACTATTTTAATTTAAATAGGTGAATCAAAAGTTAATTTTTTCAGATCTTCAGACCTAAAAAATATACTAAAAATGATAAATTACAATTGATTTATTTTTTTAATAACAAAGACACAAATGAATGTGCTTCTCTATCCACCAACCTGTGCAGATTGGTAAACAATGTGGTTTGTTTGGACACCAACGGTTCTTATGTCTGTAACTGTGTCAACAGCTCCTATGTTAAAACCCAGGCCACTGTCTGTGTCGGTATGTAACCAATTTTATGTATGCTAATCTGCAGCTGATCCATCAATTTTCCTACAATACCAATAAACACCATATTTGGTTTTTACTTTTGACTTTATCTTATTTATTCAAGGTTGTAATTATTCAACTATCCACTTAGAATTCAGTACACTTAAAACACATTTTTTTTTCTTTTCACATGTTCATATAAAATTTATTTACAGTCAATTTCCATTAAAAAAATGACCAAAATATATGACTATGCATAGATCTATTAAAATCCATACTTTTCACTACGCTGAAAGGTAAATTTGATTGAATTGTTCTATATGAGATCACAGTCATATTCTGATTGGTTACAGATGCTGATGAATGTGTACTAGGCACTGCCAACTGTCCTGCTAACTCTAGATGTGTAAATCAGAACCCTGGCTATGAGTGCCAATGTTTGACAGGTTACTCCAAATTAGGAGCCATTTGTCAAGGTATATTGTGGATAAAAATCACATTTGCTCAAATTGAACGTAAAAATAACAAAATATGCCCATGTGAGTTAAGACTAGGTATGGGCGTTTCTATGCAAATAAGCTAAATAAAACGCATAAGAGGTATATTTATTATTCAGAGAAAGGACCGTTCACGGTAGCTCAGTCGGTAGAGCGCTCGCTCCGTGATCGGGAGGTCGTGAGTTCGAATCTCGGCCGCGACAGACCTAAGTCGATAAAAAATAGGTAGCAACTGTTCCTTCGCCATGCGCTCGGCACTTTGAAGTGAAAGTTGCGGGTCCTTCGGATGAGACCTTAAAAACCGAGGCCCCGTGTCACGGCAGGCGTTGGCACGATAAAGATCCCTCACTGCTCAATGGCCCTGAGTGCCGAGTAAAGGTCAAAATTTGAAGCCCTTCACCGGTATATGGTGACGTCTCTATATGAGTGAAAAATTCTCGAATGGGACGTAAAACAACATACAATCAATCAATCAATATTCAGAGAAAGTTTTGATTTATTTTCTTATGCATACTTAGTACCCACCGTATGTTTTACCCAATACACATTATGACGTCATATTATGACGCCATTGTTCTTACATACTGGAGGTTATAAAACACATCAAGAAAACGGCTTCGGCGCAAGGGATTACCCTATTTAATTTTAAATAAAAATTTTCTATATATTAATAAAACTGCTGCACAAAGCCTAGGCATTTTCTCGTTTGATCGGAAATTGAGGAAACTTATACCGGACTTTTTATTTTTGCCCTGATTCAACTAAAAACTTACAAATAGAAATTATACAACTGAGTTGTTGATATTTATGAAGCAATACCAGCAATCTTTGGAATATTTTGCTTTTAAATATACTTTGTTTCAGTTAAATAAAACAGAGCATGCCCTTGCGCTGAAGTATTTTTCTTAAAGTTCATTATAATCTTGTGTAGTAAAGAACAATGACGTCATATGACGTCATAATGTGTACTGGCTATCTCATGTCGTGGGTACCAAGTATGTATTAGTCAATAAGTTTTAACTTTCTCTGTATAATAGATATAGTCCTTGGGCATTTTAATTAGCTTATTTGCATAGAAATGCCTATACCCAGCCTTACCTCACCTGTATGATTACATAAAGGTAAATATTACTTATTATGCTAGAATAAAATCCGTATCTAACGGGGTATAAAACAGAACCTATGACTATTACACATGGATAATATCTTAAGTAACTATCTTATGAATAATTAAAAAGTCAAATATATTACACATTACGTATTCTATGTAAATTTTACATAGTTTTTTGTGTAGTTATCACATGAAAGTAGTCCTTTTTTAATTTTACCCTGAATATGAAAGGCACTGGTAAGATGTAGTATAAATTTCTCAGTTTCTTCATTTGGCAAAAATAGCACGATCCTGTAAGACGTATGGAATAAGTACAACTTTTCAATTCTTCCATGAGTAAATGATGTTCCATTGATTTATAATATTTAGATTTATAGGAAAAAATAATCATGAACACAGCATATTTTGTCCCTTTTATGTCAACATGTATCAACGTCTCAGAAAAAAATCTTTATTCTGAAGGTAATTTTAATTCTCATGATTTCATAATACTGCAACAGTATTTTTACATTCTCCCCGGGCCATTTGTATAACTTTACCAAGAAAAAGATACTAGTAAGTCAAACATCCTGAAAAGTTGATTTTCTGAGAATAAAAACATGATTAGTGTAGATTTTTTAATATACGCAGGGAATTTATAATTGCGTGATTTCTCGCTTTAGTTTACATGTTCCTGAATACATATAAAAACTTGAGAACAACAGTGCACTCACAAAATTTGACGACTGCAAGTCATTTTGCAATATTAAGTTTTGGCATAAAGTAAGATTAAATAAGCATTATACTCGTCTATAAGATTTAGTACTTTGTTTGGATAGACATGGAATATTGTTACAGATATCAACGAGTGTAATCAAGCCAATGACTGTAATAAAACCTTGGGTGTTTGTGCCAACACTGCAGGAGGATACACATGTGCTTGTAAATCAGGATACGCGGGAGATGGAAGAACTTGTATTGGTAAATGTGTGTGAGAGAATGAGAATACACATGTGATACAGCTAGGGGTGCGTGAAGTGGGAATACACACATAGTACAAGTACCAAAATATGTCCGAGGGTGTTAATACACATGGTACAGGCAGGTGTTTGTGAGAATGGGAATACACGTCTGGTACAAAGGGTATGTCTGAGCAAATGTTTATTATACATGTACATGCAGAGAGGCATCTCTATTTTATGAAAAGGAAAGATTATCAGATAACTAGTTGTTGTTTTTTTTTAACTCCATTTCTTATATATGTTTTTTGGAAAATAAATGCTTACTTTTCTATTGTGACATCAACTTTTTGATTCAGATGTGGATGAGTGTTCTCTCAACACCCATAACTGTGACAGTCGTGTAGCAAGACGAATCTGTACAAACACTCCAGGGAGCTTTACTTGTGGATGTATTAGTGGTTACCAACTAGCTGGGGATCAGAGAACATGCAATGGTAAATGATTTATAGATGACATTGAAGAGTGGAGGGGAGAACTTAAATTTTTGAATGACATACATAGTATCTGATGAGGGTAAATAACTGAAAATTTGATAATACGAAACGTTTGTTAAAGTGGCTCAAATTCAAGAACATGTAAATGAAATTTGATTTTTTATGTTTCAAATTGTTCTGTAATAAACTGAAAAAGGAGCGGATAACGAACAGTGATAGATTTCAAAACTCTCAACAATTATACAAAGGTGGGATCAGGTACCTATAATTGATGATTTTGATAATGGGGATGTTCTTTCACAAGTGACTTGTTAAAGAAATGCTGTAACAGTTACATTGTAAACTTTTCTAACTTTTCCATGTTTGTTACATTTTGGCAAGGAGTTATGTAATGGTAAAGCTACTATATTGAAATGAATGTGTTCATATTGATTCTGAATATTCGCTTTTGGAATTTGTGCAATTTTTCATGAATACATGCTGTGAAAATGAACAAGTATTCGTCATAATTAGATGTTTTAATTTTTGTTCTCTTTAAGATATGTTATTTTAAGAAGAGAAACCAAGGTGAACTATTCTGCCTGCGTTAACAATATATATATATATATATATATATATATATATATATATATATATATATATATATATATATATATATGTATATGTATATGACTGCCGTCATGAGAAAAGGGCCCTTATCTTTTGACGTCACAATGCGCAGAAAACGACGTCAAAGTCGCGGTATTGTAAACACGGAAGTGATTTTTGTCGACTGCGTTTTGTGAACCAAAAATAAAATTGGATTTCCAGGTGTTACAAGAAAAACATTAAATCATTTGAAATTTGATGGGGACATTTTTAATAAATAATATAATTACACACTAGTACATGCATTTATTAATTATTCTGTTTAGGTATTTAATTGATATCACATAATTACGCTAAGTGCGACATTGAACTCATTGTTAATTACGAAGATTCATGGCGATGTGTATATATGATGCATGGCTTAAGTTTTCTGAGCAATTTGCGAATGTTTAAATTTTACTCATATTAAGTAGACTAAGTATTAATATTAAATGGTATTCTGCATACACGTATATTTTTTTTCAGATAGAGAGGGAGGGCAATGCACGTACATGTATACACTTCTTAATTCTAAAAAAAACACCTAATGTAAAATGTACTTAGCCATTTTAATTGATCCATAGTTGATAATATCGATATGCGCAGTTAGACCAGCTCAGGGTGAAGCGTCGATCCAAATGTGTTTGAGGGGGAGCGGGGGGGGGGGGGGCACAGATCATTGAAAAGCAAAATAAAATATCTCCTAATAAAACAGCAATCGGTAAAAGTTCAATCTAAATGAGAGAACCTATCTCTTCTATTGGGGGGGGGGGGATATAGTACTAGAATCTGGTATTATGGGAGATTCGAACCTCCTACTATAGCAACGAATGAGAGAGTGGTTGGTGGGGAGCAAACTGCCCCGATATAGATGTTTCTTTGCTAAGTTAACAGCAAGAGAATATGCTAAGGGGAAAAACGGAAGAGGGGGATGCCACGGAAATTTTGCAAAAAATAAATAATGATTAAGAAAACATTTTGAAATGATCGAATAAATACATAAAAAAGGTAGTTTCTGATAAAAATGACTATTGTATCAATTTTCTTAGATTGTTCCGATAAAAGCTGACTTGAAATTGAATTGCAATACACTTAGGATATACATGTAGATACAGCTAATGTGGACTTTTTCCAAAAGCATTATGATCAATGTTGAAGAAAATAACAATTACATCGACGATGATATTAGGATTAAAAATATTTATGAAACAGAAGAAACAACAGATTAAACAATAGATTAGGTTGTTAAGAAATTACAAACTTCTGATAAATTTTGATATGGCGACATCTTTTGAGAATAAATCACTGATTGGGAAAAAAGAACCAGCAACAAGTGGTTATGGGTGTCAAATACAAATGTTAAGAAAACTTTCAAAAACATCAACCACACCAGTAGTAAGACAACAAAGAAATCTATATTTTGATAAAGATGAAAAAAAATTAACACTGCTGATGTTTCGAGCAGAAAAACGAAGGTTCAGGCAAAACTCTGATAACCATAAAATATGTTAAAGAAGGCTTTTTTTCTCTCTCTCTCTGACTGTTGCACAGGCACTTGACGTTTTAATAATAGTATGAAGAATTTTTTATATATGATAAGAAGGGTTAAAACGTCAAGTGCCTGTGGACTGTTGTATTCATGTACATGTACATCTGTATGTAATAAATTAGTCACGTTTCGTGTTGAAATCTTGACGAGTCTCAGCTCTGATACCTCGATACCCCGGATATCTCGACATTTTTTGAAAGTTCCGTTGATGTAGGGATACTGAAGGAAAAATTAAACAAACACACACATCTTTCTGATTTTAAAGAAAAAAAAAGTTTCTATTTCACTCGTGTGGTAACAGGCAAAAATAAAAGTCAGGCTCTTTAATTTCGAGATTCTGACAAATTGTTATTTTTTTAAACAATAACTGGGAAAAAATGGTTTGTCTATTTTATCTTTAGCTTTCAAGACAAAAGCAGATATTAAGTTGATCGCCCATGAAGTTCAAGTTAGAGTGGTAGAGATAGAGGATATTCAATGTTTTGTAGATGAATATGGAAATTATTTCACTAGTGGGACAGGATTTTTTGATATTTTCACGAGTGCGAAGCACGAGTGAAAATATCAAAAAATCCTGTCTCACGAGTATTAATTTTTCGACTGAAAAAAAATCCTTTTTATACCCTGTCTGGACCCCCACCCCACCCTTTACGAAATTACTAGACTTGGTCTAATATAGTATGAAAATAGAATGCAACTTCCCTCATGAAAAATTACATAGTATCTTGGAAGAAATTAAAAATCTCAAGTTTTTATGAGTCAAAACGAGTAAGGTTATTTAAAAAGTGTAGTTTTTAAAAGAATGTTTGGAAACTGAATTTGACGCACGCGACGTCATTACGTTTTCAGTAAGTAACGTCAACGTTGTTTTGAAGCGGCCTTACTAAAATGCTCATAAAATATTGATAAAATGAGATATTTTAAAAATTGATGTATATTTGCATTCAGAAATAGTCAGCCTATCAAAATTTAAATAAAAGTCATTTTGTGAAATTTTGACCTTAAGGGCCCTTTTCTCATGACGGCAGTCATATATATATATATATATATATATATATATATATATATATATATATATATATATATATATATATATATATATATATTGTTCTCAAATTTTTAGATGTGGATGAATGTACAGGAAATCATGGCTGTTCACAAATATGTCAGAACAAAGATGGTGGATATGACTGTGCCTGTCAAACTGGATACAGACTTGAAGCTGACCAGAGGACCTGTGTGGGTAAGGAACGATTGTAAAGGATTTGGATTAGCATAAATAAGATGATAACAAATTCCACGGAAAGAGAAGATTGTACGTAGTTTAAATAGAATTTTATTTGTGTATAATGTTCAATTTCAATTTACTAGATTTACCACTACTTCTTATAATGAATAAATATATGTAAAGTTAGTAAACAGTATTCTTGAAGTTTTATATGTATTGTGTAAAGACATATTCATTGTACTGAATGAAAAGGGGTATGCTGTTTATTTGAAGAACTGTAGGGTTTTTCCAGTGCATACTCTGGATAGTATCTATTTATCATAATTTCACACTTCGGTGACTTGAAAAGAAATGTCAAGATTTAATATTTCACTAAATAAAAACTTTGATTAATAACAAAATCTGAGGAAAGGTTTTAGTTTCTTTTTGTTTTGTGTTTTAGTTGAAATTGAGTGTGGAGCAGCCAAAAAAGCAACATGTCAGAATCGAATGTGTGCCAAAGTGAATGGTACTGATACCTGCCAGTGCCCCTCAGGATACCAGTTGGCAGGAGATGGAACCATATGTAATGGTAAGAAGTTTATGTAGTGGACTGTTCATAAAACAACTACATAATTTTCACAGAAATTCTGTGAAAGATTTTCCGGACACTGGGTGGTCAGAATTGATGGAAAAGACTGTATTACACTTTGTCAGAATGGATGGAAAGTATCAGGTGGATATTGAAATCATTTAAATGGTTGGGTGTTGGAAATATCCAAACCATCTATCCTTCTCTCTTAAGTAATTTAGAAATGATTAAAACATTATATAGAATTAGTCATCAATATTTTATATTTCAAGCTAACAAAGTATGTATCAACATAATCTTTGAACGGTACATCACTGCATTTTAGAGGAACCTGGATTTGATTCTGCTAGTGGTGCCTAAAGAAATACTATAGTATTCTATAGTATCAAAGTTTTAACCACTGTATTTCAAAGTAATTGTTATGGTAAATCAAAATATTTTTATGCAAATTTCAAATTGTTTTCTCAAATTTTTACATTCAATTTTTTTTGTCCCCCGCTTTCACAGAAAGTAGAAGATATTAATTTGGGTTTTTCCGTCTATCTGTCTTTATTCGGTTTGCGTATAACACTTCGTTTCCTGATAATATATTTTTCTAATTTAGCTAAACTAAATTAAAAAATAATAATGAGTAATTTCAAAGCACATACGGTGTCTTGGAAGGGAACGGCAGCCACCCTATCTTCAACCTCCTCCTTTCCCTCCTTGATCCCCTCCTGCCTATAGTTATCCTTCTGGAATGTGTTTTTTTATTTGATTCCCTTAGAAAATGAGACAAAAAGGAGGTACACCCCCTCACAAATAAGGTATTTTCAGTTATGTTATTTTGCCTACCATCATCTCCTGTGTTGAATGTATACCGGTAAATCATGTTAATGAACCTTACACCAAAGTCTTAACCAATATTGAAGTTTTCTTATCTATTATCACTTCCGTACCTCCGTACATAATGCAGGTTAAAATGTCAAAGTAAACCGTCGATTGTAAAAAAAAAAAAAAAAAAAAAAAAAAAAAAGTCCATTGAATTTAAGGCCAAAAGCTGAGAAATCAAGAATGACCTTTTTTCCCGAACCTTATTTTTTTTTAGTTCTTCCACCCTCTTCTTTTTTCCTGAACCTAGGGACACAAATTATCTGAATTAACTTAGCTTGTTTTATATCAAAAGGAAATGAATGTATTCGCACATTATTTAAAAAAAAACATCATTGTATGTAATTTATGCGATTTTAAGGCTCTAAGTTTAAAAAATAATTACAGTAAAATCAAAGGATCAAAGTATTTACTATGGGTAAGTATAATGATCTGAAGTTCTCTTCTAGGGAACTTTTCAATAGATTCAAACTTCAATAAGAATAGCCCTTGAAAATAATATAATTATTCCGATTTAATAAGAAATAGATGAGAACCAAAGTTTTTAATTGCATATTCCTTTGTAGTTTTTTTTAAAGAAAAATATAATGATTAACGATTATTAACGAAAATATTAATGATTAACATAGTCAAATGCAAGATTAGTTTGTAAAGCAGATGTACACAGAAATAAATAAACTTTTAGAAGTTTTCTTTTTGATTTTGTTATTACTTATGAATGTGGTTTAAGATGCAAAACCGTGAACATAAAACTACACATTGTTTTTAGTGCATAATGCGCCCCATACTAAAGATCTGTAGCCGCTATATTATAAATGTTCATCCAAACGAAAATGTCCATTAGCAGAACTGTTTTTGTATTCTTATGAATCAAAGTTTATTCAAGATCTTCTACATATAAAAAAGCCTCTTCTTGCGTTCTTCATTTCGACATTTAGATAGGTCGACAAGACTTTATCAATTACCAATATTCAGTTTCATTCAAACGTTTATTCTACATATCCCACTGAATTTCCCTTATATTCGTTACAATATATCATTATCACCTGCATAATGTCTTTATTTCTCCTATTTGATTGGATCTAGAAGAGCATGTTCTACGCAAGAACAATATCTAGACCAATTTCGACTACTTACAAATAAATTGATGATACAAGGGTATTAGTAATATTTCAAGTAAATTTATGACAAATTCTACTGCCAATCAAATGACCTTGTTTGTAAAAATAACCCGTCGTTAGGTGAAATGCTGATTGACGATTTGCAGAACAAAATTTTAGGTCCATTATTTATATATCTATATGTTTATATTATTTATACGATATTGGCTCAGAGAGGGTGCCAACGGTCGACAGAGGATGCTTACCTCCCTCCCCTCCCCAACTCCCCAGCACATAATCCCATTCCTGATGTTTTAAAGGGTTTGTGTTTGCTCTGATCCCAGTTTTTATTAACTGCACCTTTGAGCATAATTACTGTTAGTTAATGTTATCTTCCCATATGAACTAGATATTAACAACAAATCTCAAAATTAAATGTCAGTTGTTGTTAATTGTAAGATCATTATTTTGTTGATGAGTGATCCTGTTTTGATCTTGAATTTACTCCTAAAGAGACACATAAGTCATATTTGTCCGATATACATGGAAATGTTTTCCAGTACTTAATATATGAAAATGACCGAAACGGTTTTCTAAGTATGTGAAGAAGCGAAACTTAAAAATAAGAGGCGGGCCGTAGAATCGGACAGAGTGACACTGTGCAACTACATTACAGAACAAGACTAAAATCCCAAAGAAACATGATAGGATTTTCAAAATTATTATTGTATGAAACATGCATATTTACATATACTTTGTTCGCATATTATAATGTTAAATCATATCATAATATTAAGATATTTCTCATTTGTATCTAGAATCTTTTTGATGAAATAAAGTATTTGATTCTTGTAATTTGTATATTTTCCCCAAAAATCTAAACCGATGACTTTTATATTTTTTGATGGCGGAGAATGCTCCGTGTGTTACACACAACAATTCTTATTACTCGATTTTTTTTTATCTTATCATGTTAAAACTTCGTTATTCATGATACAACAATGCGCTTTATCCACCGAGAAAAATTTATAAAGATATGTTGATTTCTGAAAAAGATCTGAGAGTCTACGGAATTTTCGGACGACCCTCGTACGTTACTTAATTTTTTACAGACATTGATGAATGCCTAAGAAAGCCGTGTTATGCTACAAACAGTAACTGTACCAACACTGAAGGGGGATACAATTGTAGCTGTACAAATGGCTACATTTTAGGACCTAATAATGTGTGTAAAGGTAGGCTACGTTTTTTAAGTTTTACCCAGTTGTATTGATTATGACAAACATTATAAATAGAAAATAACTTTTTTATTGTTTTTGAAATATTGAGTTCAAAATTATCATCCACATTCTAATCAGTGATATAGAATGCTTTCTAGAAAAACATATCTCATTTCATGTGAATTATTTCACTTATCTGCTTACAATCAAGACCGTAATGGTGGTCTTTCAAACTGGACTCCATGGGGAAGCTGTTCAAAGACTTGTGGCAGTGGGACCCAAACACGGAACCGTGCATGTAACAACCCCACCCGTAAAAGATTTGGAGCGGACTGTGTAGGGCCACTGACAGAAAGCCAGGACTGTAATACACAATTATGCCCTCGTAAGTTTCTAGTCCAGTCCTTAAGGCATTGAAAAGAGAAATATTTGAATTTTCGAAAAATATCAGAAAATATTCATAATATTTTCTCTAATGTTTAAGCTTGTTTAAGTTTTCTTTTAGGGGTCCAAAATTACCTCTTTCATTGTCTCCATGGGTCCTCAATTTATAACGAAAAGAGTAAAAGAAATTAAGATCGATTATAAATTTTATTTAAGTTTTCTTTCAAAAAAAACTGGGCTAAGGCATAGCCCTTTATTTTCTATCACTTTAATGAAGCATCAGTATTTTCATCGCCTTTCTGGATAAAAATTTGAAACAAAATGTGGTCTAAATCTATCATTATATTAAGTTATATGCACCATTATAACATGTTTCCTTTTTCTTTGTGACAGCAAATGAAGTAGAGAAGAATTATGGTATTGTTCTACAATTGAAAGGCCTACCTGTATCGGTGGTAAGAATATATTTTCATTGTTTTGAAGGCGTAATTGAAATAAAAAAAAATTACAATCTGAAGATTACGATCCTTTTATCAATTTTCTATGTGTAATTTAATAGACTACTGATTCTGGACAATGACTCTTACAAAATAACAAATATTGAGCTCAATTTTAGTTCACAGCAAGAGTGAGGAGGCAGTTTAGGACAACAGTAGCTACTGGTATCACCAATTTCTGCAACGAAGACAATGCAAACCTGAGGCAATGCTGTTCCAGTCAGTCAACTTATGTGTAGGTACCTTTATTAGATTAGCTAATTACATTCAAATTGAAGACAATATTCATAGCTATGATTAGCCATATAAAAGGATTTTGACATGCATAAAGTGCTCCAAGGAGGATAAATAATAATAAAGCAAGGTTCCTTATCTAATCAACTGAAGAAAGCAATCATTTCATCTCTGAATTTAAACTGCTGAGAAAAATTTCTCTGAGTATTGTTGAACTCACTTTGTCTTCAAATGACGCCAGAATAAATGAAGTATTTGTAAATTCAGTCCCAGCAATTCCTCTCCATTGGCGTACACAACTGCAGATAAGATTGCTATTGGAGATGGCTATCCACGAGATGTATCGGGAATAACCCAAATTATGCTGATTGTGAAATCCGACAGAAATAATGCCCTTTGTTCCGCCAGTAAAAGACGCAGGAAGCGCGGTGTCAGTCTTGGTGGAAATGAGATAGCTATTCCTCAGACTGTGCTTGCATCCATCATGAGTGATCCTACTATGTAAGTATTTATGCATCACTATGCAGTACTTTTTTAAGAATGTAAATCCTTCTTCTATAACAAAGCTGTTTCTGATTTCTCAGAGGATTATGAATATTAAAGTCAATGGATCTATATTTCCTCCATTACTAGTACTTTGTCTTACACTATTTAAGACTTATTATGCCACGTGAATATTCAGGTACTCGGTATATTGGTATAAAGTATTTCATATGAGAACTAAATTATTCATTGAGTTGGTTGTATTTAATATACATTTATTACATACTTAGTAATAAATACATTTTTTGCGTATGCAATATGCCTGACGTCACACTTTCCATATCAGCTTCCAGGGCTGATAGGTATCTTGCAGGGCTGCTATACAGATATATCACATCCCATGTAGATTAATCTTCGAAAAACAGTGTGATCCTACACCTATTTTTAACTGAAAAATTTTGTATTTAATTTTGATCTGCTGATATTTGGTATTCATGTAAAAAGCAAGATGGTGATTTAAAAGCTCTAGAAAGTTTATGTGTGCTGTATGTTATTACTAAGTACGTTATAAACATAATAAAACATACCCTTTTCTATTTCACACCCTGATTTGCCATCTAAAAAGGTTTCGTGGACAAACAAACCTCGTTGTTTCGAATGCTGCCTTATCTAATATATAGTAATATTAAAATTCCGTGTGCGATTAATTTCATTGAAAATTATTAACAACGAAAGCAATGAAATTTAATCTTCAATAAATATTACTGCTTTTACAGTGTTGAAGTTTCCTCAAAATTCAAAAAAAATATGTTACACGTCTTTCCTAGATCACAAGCTGTTATATCAAACATTATCCAGACAGTTCAAGCTGAGACAGGCGTGGTCCTCAACATCACAACAGAACCCATTAAGCTTGTCACGAACACCACTAACGACCCTGTGGTTCCGGGCAGTCCACCACCCACAGTTACAACAACAACACAAGTAAGACATCTATATAATTTGAAAATATAACACTTATTATCCTTTGTAGTTTCACGAAATCTTTATAATTATTTTCTTATCTTGTTCGGTCAATATTAAAAATTAACTTTATGTAAATTAGCCCTTTCACAATAACTGCTGCACTACTCTTTTGCAGGGCAAATAAATAATGTTTGGCGAAGATTTTATAGACAGACAATTAGATTAAACATATATCAAACAATTGCTTTTACGTCACATTTCACCAAAATATATTATTTTGCCCTGCAAAAGAGCAGTACCACAGTTAAAGTGAAACAGTCTATACTAGTGAGCAATATGGATGAATTTCTGCAACCTTTTGCAGGCTACCACTACACAAGTAACGATTACTAGGACAGGGGGCACTGAAGACTGAGTTGTCGCCCTTGCTGTCATTTTCTCTCTTACTGGAGTTATAGTCATCTTATTTATTGTGTTTACTCTCTTAAAGAGGTCCAGCAAGTGAGTACACCAACACTTGTTTCGATTACTTTTAAGGAGGTTGGATACTGCTATGAAAAGTCTTAAGAAATTTTTATCAAGTTTTTTTAGTATCTACTCGCATGGCTAATTACAAAATCAATACAGACCAGAAATCAAGACCGTAGCTCTACTGGTTTGTACTTATAACAAAGGAAGAGAAGAGTAGGACTTGGACTTGACACTATGCAATAGCATAATATACAGAATATTGATCCTTGCTTTGGTCTCTTTTTTTGTGGCAAGATTTATTGCAATCAGACTAAAATTGTAGGAGTAGTCTTTACAAAGCATTTCACAGAATTTTTTATTTTTATTAACCATTGCAACACTATTTATCAAAATCAGAAAACGATTCACAGAATTATGTATAATATTGTGGGCTTCTTATGTGCAAAATTATATTGAAATCAGACCAAAACGGTAGAAGGATTAGCGTTTTGAAAGTATTTCACGGAAATTTCTATTTCAAATAACCATGGGAACACCGTTCCTAGAGATCAATATCCGATAATCAAATAATGTATCTAAGTAAAGTCTGCTTGTGTGTTAAGTTTTTTAAAGTAAAAAATTCTAATTTTTGTCACCATGGCAACACTGTTTATCAAAATAAAAAACAACAACATAATATTATATTATAATTATGTACAAATGTATCTTACTGAATGACGACGGGCACCTTACCTTCGTATAAGCTCTTCTGATCGCGGTCTAGTATATAGCTAAAAATGAGAGGCCAACCTGCTTCTTTTGGTGCTATGGTGCATTTAAACTGGTCCTTTGCACCGTAATTGAGTTGAACATATTTATCACTTTTTCAAAGTTTTTTCCTTCAATATTTTGTATTCAAATAAATCATGGGCCCAAATACAGTCATATTCAATTCTGAATAGACACATAAAGATTGTTACAAAGAAAAAAGTTTCAAATTACTTTGCATAATAAATTATTTGAACTTTCTGCAATCACAAAATATCATTTTCCCGGCATTTAAAATTTAAAAAGCAATAAAAATTCTTAAGCATTAATGATTTTAAGTAAAATGGTCAAGGTAATCTTCAATATTCAGAAAAGAAAAATAAAAGTGAGGATCGAAGTAATTTTTTAGATTTTGATAAAAGTGTCGATTTAAGGAAGGCCGAGCTATGTCGTTCGACGTCAGAGCAGCGATGTTTGACGTTGACGTCACAATAAAGACTTGTCTTTTTACCTCTTAATATAGGGGTTTGCAGTTGACTTAGCATTTATATATATAAATTCCAGTAAATAAGAATATTTTAAAGATATAAATTTACTGATTTTAATTAATATTGATTTTAAATTTTTTAAAGCATTTTGGCTCATTTAATGCATTTTGTTATGAAATTGATACTGTTTTAAAATCAACAGTTTCTTAGCATTTTACACCAGCACAGTCTGTTTTTGCATGTGCTAAAGTTAAAATTGGGCCTATTTTTTTTCCTGGGCTTTCCTAATATATTTGATATATTTGTCACAATATGAAGAAAGAGCTCATAAAAGTTAATTTAATATATAATTTGGGACCTGCAGAAAACATTTCACTGCAGGAAATAACTCGAGTGCAGCGTGCATGAAAAAATTGGAATCCGAACATAACAGTGCTTAAAAAAAAGAAAATCGACTATTTTCTTCTAAAAAACTTTCCGTCACAAAATTAAGTTCCACACTCAATGATTTTTACATGGAATTATCGTTGGTTTCCAATTGAATATTATAATTAATTTGGCATTGTAGAATCCAAATTATTTAAAGAACTAATATTGATGCAGAATTTTAGAAATAAAGCTCAGGTTTAAACCTCCTTAACAGGACAATATCTCCTACTTTTTAAAGATAGATATAAATAAAGTGGAAACAAAGTTTTTCATTCATATTTTTAAAGCAACCTTTTCATCAATTTTGGAAAGAATTTTAAAGTCACATCTTAAAAGCAATTTGGAAAATAAAGTTAATTGGGGGGGGGGGGATGCCCACATGTTCTGAGGGAAACTGCCTCTTTTCGGCTGTGAGTTTAAGTCAACGCTGTTTTGATGAAAAATTCTGCTGTATGCTACGAAAATAATGATAAGCTGAACTTATTCTAATAATAGTAAATTTAAATTTAGAGCTGCGGATGGAATTTTCTATTGAAATTATGATAGACTTAATTATACACTATTAAATTCTTAAATGTAGGATTCCTGGATTACCAGGTAGCAGAAAGAAGAGTGAAGAAGTGGATGAAGCCAGTGATATTGAAATTGAAAAGTCTACTAAACCTGCAAGAGCTGACCAAAGCTTG